CAGTCTTTGATTAAAATATTGAATATACATAAGTATTTGAGACAATAGAATTATTTATTAATTTATTGTCTATTATTATTATTATTATTTATTATTCAAAATTGAACAGTAAAAAGAATATTTATTTTGAGATTATGTTTATTATGTAGAAATTTATATGAGCTGATTTATATATATATATAGCTGAAGTAGATAATTATAAACTTCTACGTAAATGTTATTTTGAATATCTATTTCGGCTAAAACAAAATGCTCTCAATAAATCTTAAATTGAGTTCAGAATGTCAACTGATTTCAAAACGTCAACGTTTAAGCAACGCATTGGTTCACTAAATCACTATAGGATTTTTTATTTTACATTAACGCAACGACTTAACATAAAATTTCCATTGTGAAACTTCTTTTAAAAATTATGTTATAATTTCCATATATTCTTCCTTATGAACATTTTGTATAATTTTTTTTTCATACCCACATATCCTACACTTCCTTTTCCTGTTCATCTATTCAGTATTTATATATTTATTAATTCCTTTATCTATTATAAAACCTACATAGACTTTAATTCCACCTCAAAAACTTCTTCAGTCTTTTTAAATACTTCTAATTACTTCGAAATATTTTTTCATTATTTATTATCCTTATCTTATGAATTTTCTAAATCCGAAAGATTGTGCGAATCTATAGAAAAACGCGATTGAAAAACGAAAAGTAGGAAAGTAATATAATGATAGCTGCGAGATTATGTTTCTGCATGCTTCTGCCATCTGACGGCGGCAGGACGTAATGAACATGTCATTAATTATTACTTTCCTACTTTTCGTTTTGCAATCGCATTTTTGTATGGATTCGCATAATCTGTCGGATTTAGGAAATTTTTAAGATAAGAATCCTTAGTGTTATGGCCGATTTTGTGAAAAGTGTTCGCGTTTTGAGAAAAATGTATTTAAAAATCAATGTTTATCATTTTCATGTTCAGTGCCATTTTTATAGGGCGATAATTAAATTTTCGTTTTTTCTACATTCAACCACAAATCCTTTTCCCTCACATACTTCTAAAATTCCAATTAGCATTATTACCTTCTTCTCATCCGCAATCATAAAAACCACATCATCCGTATACGCCAACGTGTACACCTTTCCCTTCTTTAAGAATGTTCATCATCGGAACTGCAGACTTCTAGAAAAAAATAATTAATTAACATTCAAATAATTAAAATAATATTATTAATTGTACTTTCTGAGAAAGGAAACATTAATTTTCAAGAAAAAAAATTTTAAACCAACAAAACTATTTAAATACCATTTAAATAATTTAACTTTTCTCTTTCCAGGGTGTGATGGTCGGTATGGGTCAAAAGGACAGCTACGTGGGAGATGAGGCTCAGAGCAAAAGAGGTATCCTCACCCTGAAATACCCCATCGAGCACGGAATCATCACCAACTGGGATGACATGGAGAAGATCTGGCATCACACCTTCTACAATGAATTGAGAGTCGCACCCGAGGAGCACCCAGTCCTCCTGACCGAGGCTCCCCTCAACCCCAAGGCCAACAGGGAGAAGATGACGCAAATCATGTTCGAGACCTTCAACAGCCCGGCCATGTACGTCGCCATCCAGGCCGTGCTCTCGCTCTACGCCTCCGGACGTACCACCGGTATCGTCCTCGACTCCGGCGACGGCGTCTCCCACACCGTGCCCATCTACGAGGGTTACGCCCTTCCCCATGCCATCCTCCGTCTCGACTTGGCCGGTCGCGATCTCACCGACTACCTCATGAAGATCCTCACCGAGAGGGGCTACTCCTTCACCACCACCGCCGAGCGGGAAATCGTTCGCGACATCAAGGAGAAGCTCTGCTACGTGGCCCTCGACTTCGAGCAGGAAATGGCCACCGCCGCCGCCAGCACCTCCCTCGAGAAGAGCTACGAGTTGCCCGACGGACAGGTCATCACCATCGGCAACGAGAGGTTCCGCTGTCCAGAGGCCCTCTTCCAGCCTTCCTTCTTGGGCATGGAGTCCTGCGGCATCCACGAGACCGTCTACAACTCCATCATGAAGTGCGACGTCGACATCCGTAAGGACTTGTACGCCAACACTGTCCTCTCCGGTGGTACCACAATGTACCCAGGTATCGCTGATCGTATGCAAAAAGAAATCACCGCCCTCGCTCCATCCACCATCAAAATCAAAATTATCGCACCACCCGAGAGGAAATACTCCGTCTGGATCGGTGGCTCCATCCTTGCCTCTTTGTCCACCTTCCAACAGATGTGGATCTCCAAACAGGAATACGACGAATCTGGTCCTGGAATCGTTCACCGCAAATGCTTCTAAATTACAAAATCCTTTTCATACCTCTTACACATGCTTGTCATTTTCATCAATGTCATCTCTGTCATCTACATCCACGAGTTTCGTCGGCTGGACCATGCTACTCCATAGCTCTATTTCTCACCTATTCGCGAGGATATTTTTACCGTCTAGAAACTCACGAATCGAGATGCTCGAGAGGAAAAAAGAGCCACATGGAAAGTCTTCTTTGCTCCCATTCGTTGAGAACAAGGATAAATTCTTTTTCACTATCGTTAGCTATTTTTTTCCATTTCGGATACAGTCGCTTGATAAATCAAAAGTTTACTTATGAAGAAAAAGAAGAAAAAGAAGAGTTTTATCACTAAATATCCTTTTCTAATGTCAAGGAATCTATTGGGTCCAAAAAGAAAACAATCCCACTATCAAGAGAAAGAAAATACAAAACCTTCTTTAAACAAATTAATCCATCTTTCTCCTGACAAATTTCATTTTTTACTCTTCTTTTGTTTCTTTTTCTTCTTTCCGAATCGAAAATCGAAACAAAGCTTCCTTCTTTTTCTTACAAAAAGGCCACCAAATTCCTTTCTCTTCATTTCAAAACGGCGAAAAAAAATTTGGATTCTATGAAGCAAAAAGGCAACCAAAGACAGACCTTTTTATCATAACTAGTCGAGAAAAAAAATCACTGCCAAACAAAAGAAACTGAAGGAAGTAAGAATAATCCGATGATGAAAAAGAACAAAATCCGCTCTTCTCGACATGAGAAAAGAAGATTTTTTAACTCTCGTTGCTAATTGGAGGAAGAAAAAAAAAAAAAAAAAAAAAAAAAAAAAACTACTCAAGTGCCTTTATACACACATTTATCAGACTGTATTGTACTTTGTAGTTTAATACAACATGACTGTTTGTTAACTTAACGTTAATTAATTTATTGCTAGTCCTTGCACTACATATAAAAGCGCGTTTTCGTGTACAATAAAAGGTACACACGGCTGTTTGTGATCGCGTTTTATTTTATTTTTTTCTTTTAGATCTAGAAAACCTCGCCTTTAAAGACTTCACGGTATTATTTTGCTTAAAGATTGATTAAAAAAAAAAAAGAAAATAAACAGGGAGGTTTCTATTGTCGCATATTATATACCATTCAGTCTCGCTAGTCTCATATTGATGCCTAGCGATTGTGTCATTCTCACACATCATCCTATATAATATTTTAACTTGTATAAATATAATGATAATGATATAATAAAGACATTATGTATGTAAATTTTTCTTTCTCTTCGTTTTAATTCTATTATTATTATTATTATTAGACTGAAATTAATAAATATTTTACTATCACTTCTTTTATTTATTTATTTAAACATACGGATTACAAAAAAAAAAAACATATTTACTCTTTTTATAATTTTAGAAATTCAATAATCAGAATCAATTTTCTAATAATTTTTTATTATTTTCTTCAAGGGGTTAATTTTTTCAAAAAAGTGAATATTATAAAATTTTAATTTATCTTCATTGTCATTAGAAAGAATGAGATTCAAAATTAGAAGAAGAATTTGAAGGGAGAAGAAAAATAAAGAGTGTAAAAATAGAAATCTCTCTTGCCAAGATCACACCATATGGCAACATATCCCTTTTTCTGTCTCTCCATTCCTTTAATATACAGAAACCTTTCTTTCTATTTTAAAAACAAACCCTAATTATTTTTAGAATTTAAATTTAGAATTGAAAGAAAACACTGACAAACAGAAGAAAATAAAAAAAAATTAAATATATTATATTATATTTAATTTTTGAAATATAAATTAATAAATTTTCTAAATTTTTCAAAACTATGTAAAAATAATTTATTAAATTTAATACCTACATTTTTTCATCAATTTATTCAATTTTCACTTTTTAAAATGTTGATTTCCAAAAAAAAAGTTGAAAGAAAACCATAAAATAAAAATAGGATAAAAACAAAATATTTGTGTGTCTAAAAATTTTTTCAAAAAAAAAACAAGAATTTTAACTTGTTACATTAAAAGTTATTTAAATTAGGATTACAGATGAACATCGAACTTTAATCTTTGGTCATGGACCCCAGCTGCGTCTAACCTTACAAGGTCCCTTGGAGTATAAAGTTAAATCCGAACGTTCGAAAATAAACCCTATACAAATGTGTTTAACACATTGCTTTGAATTTATTTATAAGTAAAGATAGATCACAAGAGAATTAGGAAATTTCTCCATTTTTTTTTCTTCAAATTTTCATATTTTCATTTTTAAAAAATTCCCATCAACTTTCCACATTTCGAGAAATTTTAACTTTAAAAGAACATAGAAAAATATTTATCGATTTTATAAAAAAAAATTATTAAATTTTGATAATTTAGAATCAATTTTTAAAATTCAAAAAAATTCAAAACTTTAATTTAAACAATAAAAGATTATTGTGATTTAAAAGAGAATTTTTCAAAATAAAAACTGAATCAAATTTAAAAAAATTTAATAAAATAAAATATATTAAAAATGTATTTATATTACCTCATCATAATTTATTGGAATGTCGACTGTTGAATTCATTGAACAAAACGTGAAATTAATCCTGTAACTATAGCAACGTAATAACCTCGTAATTTTTTTTTTGCCTGTGTCGATTACCAATTTATTAAATTTATGTCGCACCATCTGTAACAATAAAATGAGTATTTTAAATGAGAAAATAAATTATAAAGCACTAGAAGAAGAATTACATCAGGCTATAAAAGATGATGAATTGTATCAATTGCAAAATAATGCAAAGTTTAGGGCAATTGAGCAAAAGGTACCAACCTACAAAGATTTTCAAGAAATGGTAAATAATTTCAATTTACTAAATGATAAATTAATTATTCTTTTAAAAAATATTGAATTTTAATATCTTATACTATTAATATTTTTTTTCTAATTAAAAAAAAAATTAAAAAATAAACACAATTAATTGAAACGTAATTCTTTATTTTATATAAAACTAGCAAAATTAAACGCGCGCAAGCGCGCCAAATTGAGTATTTAATTGTTTGTTATAAAGAAATTAAAGATTAATATTATCAATAATAATTAAATTTATTAGAATATTATTACATATTAAATGATAATAATGAAAATTATATGTTTACAGGCCTCGGATTATACGACTTTTTTCAAAAATACGACTTTTATGGACTTAATTTAATAAAATGCGACATTTTTTTTACATTTGAAAAAAATGTAAATAAAATACATTTTTTTTAGTATAAAATGTAGATCTTCTTCAGATCTTCTTCAATTCAATTATTTAACAAATTTTGAACTAAAATGATTTTTCACTAAATTAATTATTTTTAATAATTTTAATGAAATACATCACAAATTCAATTATATCAATATTATTTTTCAATTAAAATTTTTATGAAATTTAACAATTGTTTATAATTCAAAAAAAAATATCACAATAAAATTGAATTATTTTTTAAAAATTTCAATTCAAAATAAACTGAAATTCAATTATTACCCGAAATTTTAATTCAAAATCAATTAAAAATCCAATAATTATCCAAAATTTTCAATTTAAAATTTAATTATTTACCAAGTTTTCAATTTAAAATGAAATAAAATTCAATTATTTTCTAAAATTTCTATTCAAAATTAATTATCCAAATTTTCAATCAAAAATAAACTTAAATTAAATTAATATCCAAAATTTCAATTAAAATTCAATTATTTCACAAAATTTTCAATTCAAAATGAACTGAAATTCAATTGTTTTCCAAATTTAAAATCAAATAAAATTTCATTATTCTCAAAAATTTGAATTCAAAATTTATTGAATTTTCAATAATTTGAATTTAAAAGCATCTAAAATTTAATTATTTCTAAAATTTTCCTTCGAAATTTTTTTTTTTTGAAATTTAATAATTTCAATTATAACTCTAAGGAAATTCAATTATTTTTAACTATTTTAATAATATTCTTTGAAATTTCAACTATCTGAAACAATTTTTCAATTAAAAATGATTTTCAAATTATTGTATTTTGTCCGCATTTTCTAATAAATTTTTAGTGAAATCATCTAAAATTTTAATTACAAAACACTTAAAGTTTCAATTAATTTCAAAAATCTCAATTTTAAATCTTTGAAAATTCAATTAAATTTAAAAAATGTTTTCCAAAAATTGTTTGATAAATTATTTTTAGTTCTGTAAAATTTAATAATTGTTTGAAAATTAACAATATCTTTTGAAATTTAATTATTTCTAAGAATTTCAACTTTAACCCTTCGAAATTATTATTAAAAAAATTTTTATTTAACAATCTGTAAAATATTTTTGTTAAAATAAAAAACAAATCCACTTTTTTTTGGAATATAAATCGAATAAAACGACTTTTTTGTGTCTTTAAGTTAATTCGAGGCCTGTGTTTTTATAATTAATATTTAATAGGTATTCGTTGGCCCCTGGTACCTTAAAAATTAATTTTTTAAAATAAATTTTTTTCAAATTACTATCTTGTACGAAATTTCCTGGCGCATCTTTTTTCTCATCATAAATTTTTTGTATTTGTATACAATTTTTGAATCAATATACAACTTTAAAAAAAATTTCTTTGGTAAACGTTGTGTACTTCAGCTTCGTGAATTGAATTTTCGAATTTGGAATTTTAAAGAAACTTATTGCGAAATTTGGAAACACAATTATACAACTTTGTCAAAAATGAGAAAAAGAATTGTCAAAATTTGACATAAGATTACTATTCTAAAAAAAACGTGAAATCAGAAAAGGCCAACTTCAAGTTAAGACAGAAGGACAGGCCAAGCATTTTATTATTATATATATAATTTTTAAATAAATAATTTTTTTCGAATATTTTTAAGAATTACTATTGTAATTAATTTTAAAAAATTTTATTCAATTTCCACTGAAATGAATATCGGTAAAATTTAGTCAAAATTGAAAATTTATTTTCAAACAAAATTTTCGAAAATTGAAACAATTTTTGTTTAAATAATTATAAAAATAATATTTTTTTGTAGGTAAATGCAGCACACCTTAAACCATTAACAAATAGTGAGAAGAGAAATAAAATTTTAATTTCCAAAAATATTTTCGCTAATCGATCAGAAGATTGGGATTTTGTGTCAAAAACACAAAATTTAAAATTGATTGCTCCACTTTTGGAAAATGAGGAAACACTTTCAAAAAATGTTCCAAAGAATACTAAAGAATTTTTAAATGTTTGGAAAAAAATCAAGGATCCTGGATTTAAATTTAATTATTTACTCAATACGAGGTATTAATATAATTAATTAATTTTTTTTTTTAATTAACAGGAATATTAATTTTAAAAAAACTATTCACTAAGTAGAATTTAATAAAAATCAAATTAATTCATTTGTTAAAGGATATTAAATAGAGAAAATTAAATTGTCAATTAAAAATAAAATTCACAAATTCAAAATTTCTCTTCTCAATTTTTTAGAGTAAATTTGGGAAAAAATATATTTATTATCGAAGTTCCCTGTGAATTTTTAGAAGACATAATTATTTTATGTTCAAAGCAATTAATAAATAATAAAGTGGAAGATATAATTGACCTATTTATTAAATTGAGTCAATGCAATAGATTTGAATTAAATTTAATTTTTTTATCCGAAGAAAAAAAAGTGATTTTAAAAAAATTACTTCAAGATTTACTTTTAATGGATACAAAAAATTCTCAACAATTATCCAGCAAATATAAAATAATATTAAAATAATATAATTCTTATTTTTAAATTTGTAAAAAAAAAAAAACGGCAATATTTTTTCCAGTTCATTTCATTTCACATATAGAAATAAAAAAAATGTAATTAAAATATATATTCCTTTATTTTCCATGAAATTTTCCTAATTATTTTTCGAATATAAAAATAAATTCTTTTAAATTTATTTCCACTGGAAGTAAAAAAACCGGCAAAAGGCAAAAAATTAATAAAATTCATTTTGAAATTATTTTACTAAATTAAAAATTAAAAACATTTACAAATGTAAATTTTTACTGAAAAAAAAAGCTTAGAAAATTTAATAATAGAAATTTAATTGTTAGAAATATTCGAAATATTTTTAAATTTGTGGCATAAAATTATCGTGAACACCTTAATTTTTAGGTTAGAATTCAACGTCAAAACATAGAGATAATCAAAAAATGAACTGTTATTGTTGAAAACGTTTAAAATTAACTTTCCCTTTATATATAAATAATTATTTTTTTTATAAACTCACACTACTTTATAATGTTGATGAATGAGGATAACAATAAGGCATATGACGCAACCGGTGCCTTTTCTAGAAATCGATATCTCTCCTTTCAACAACAGCCGGGTTTTTGTGCACGCATCTATATGTTGGTCTCTTCTGCTCGATGTGAAATTTTCGTCGCACAAATTAGTTTCTTTTATAGAAAATCAAAAATATAATAAACGATATCAATAAATTTTTTTTTTTTTTGAAACTTTCGATTTACGAACGAAAATAATTGACGCGTGATTGTTTATTTTTAATGAAAAAAAAAAATATATGTGCTAGTTCCTTATCGTATGTATATTTTTATAAATCGTAATGAATCTTTCGCGATTAAAGACGTGTCGTTAAAATAATTATATGTATTGAAGAAATGGAAACCAGCTGTTTAGTGAAATAATAAAATATGTTTAGTGCATTTGTGAAACATTATTTCCATCATCATCATCATCAAAATGCAAAGAAGATTGAACGAAATGCCATTGAGAATCAATTCCGAGGAGCAAGTGTTCGAAATGGACGAGGAGACTGATTATCTTTTGCAAACTTCCGAAACTAATATTCGTTTAATGACAGCGAGAAATCGTCGATATTCCAATTGTTTCAATTCAATGCGTCGTTTATTTTGTGGGTGAGTTTTAAAAAAATGATTTCAACATAAAATGCCAATGAATATTTTTATGTCAACAAATCAGCATGCAAGTTTGTTTTGATATCTACAGGTGGCAGTACTGCTTTGGCGCATTTTTTAATTTTTACACTAAATATTTCTTGCGTTTATATTTATTTTTTCAGTTTAATCTTTTTTTTTACCCAATTTAAAACCTCTTATATTTTTTGTTTTTATTTTGTAAATTTTTAAATTTATTTTAAAATTGTTATCACACTTTTTGTAACAATACTTAATAGGTGGCGTTCAAATGCTAGGGGAAAATATTTTAGTTTCCTTTCTTTACTTATTTCTATAATCTATGGCGAGATTGAATCAGCTGGCGAAACGTCAGATTGTAAATGTCATTTTTGATTTTAAAAAAAGGTGTTTAGTAAATAAAATAAAAATTAATTTTACTTGATAAAAAGTGTTTTAAAAAAATTACTCATGTTAGTGAAAAGAATTTAAATGGAGGGCTCAAGTAATGTGACATTACGACTTTCCAAGGAAGATATTCCCTTGATATCGAAACCTCGAGTGGCAGGACCATTTTCTAGGTGACACATTTTATTGCATGAAAAATCAATTCTTTCTTATTAATATTGCACAAATATCATTTTATACTAACTTTAACATACACACAATAAGAGAATAGATTTTTTTTTAAAACATTATTTACAATGTGTATATAAATTGTTAGGTTATATTGTTTTCCTTTCATTTTTATAGGTTATTTTTACAAAAATACAAATATTTTTTTTTTTAATTTACATTGAAATTGCATTTTTAAAAAATGAATAACTATTTTTTTCAAATAAAAATTTGTTTTATTTTTGTAGAAAAATATTTGTGTGACTATAAAACAAATTTTGACTTTTAAGTATTATTTTTTATTTTACGGGGAATTTAATTAATTTTTTTTTTTTTTAAGTTTAGGACTTTGTAATTTTTATTTTTTAGTTAATTGTAATTTTTAAGTTTTGTTGTATATAAATGTATTTTTCTTTGTTCGGAATTTTTTTTTTTTCTAACAATAAAAAAAGGGATTCATTGCAAACTAATCACTGCTAAATTAATGAAAAAAAAATTTGAAATGCAGCTTAACAGTGGAAATAATTATTGAATTAAATATAAATAAGTATTCTTTTTTTCTAAAATTTATTTCAGAATTGCCGAATAAAATTTTATGTATTATAAAAGGAAGCGCAGGAGAGAATTGTGAAATTTAAAATTACAATTGAAGAGTACAATGAGAGAGGGAGCTGTACCAAATAATGTTCAAACAGAACAAAGAAGCAAAACGGCGAAGTAAATAATTTTTTTGAAAATGAAACAAAGAAAAAAAAATATATTGTTGGTGAAATTGGGTGAAAACATTTTTTTTTTACGCTTCGTTTTTTTCTTTTTACTTTTTTAAATCACGATTAAAAAAAAAAAAAATTTTGGTTCGGTTGGGGCTTTTCTTTTTTTTTTTTATCAAAATATTTTAACACTTTATCTAGAAATGAGGGTCATCTTTATTTATTGGCTTTTGCTTCATTATCGCTAGTAACGCAGTATTGATACACACGTATATACGCTTGAAATTTTGGCAAGAGTTGGATAACAAACCAACTTTGCTAAAGTTCGGAATGTATCCCTCTCTTGCTGAACGTTTTCATTTAGGAAGAAAAAGAAAATAGCAAATAAAATAAAAATAGTAAATAAAAGTTGAAAATGTAATTTTTTCCACTAGTCCACTTTTCCACTAATTTTAACTTCATTTTTTCTTAAATATAATTTTTTATTCTAGCACTTGTGTTTTGTTTCGTTTTTTTCTCTTTTGGAAAATATTTAGAAAATGTAGAATAATTTACAGTCAAATATTCAATTTTCCTATGTTTGTCAATTTTGTATAATTTAAAGTCGCTTGAAATGCTTCCTGTTTCCTCGAAAAAAAAAGAAATTACCTCATAAATGCTTCTTCGTAAGAATGGTAGTTTTGTTAGTTTTTCTAATTTACGGGGGTGATGGTATTAACATAAAAATGTAAATTTTATTTTTACATTTCAAAAAAAAAAAAACTAAAATTATTTTGGTGATATGGAAAATATATTCCCAATTATATTTTCAATAAATTATAAAAAATTGGTATTTTGAACATAAATTCATTAAAAAAATTTAAATTAATAAATAAAGTATTCTACTTTTGGTTGTAGTAAATTATTTTCTAATTAATTTATTATAAAATTTCAATGTTTTTTTTTTTAAATTTCATATAATTTTTGGAATTAAAAAAGTTATTTTCATTCAATTTTTTTATTCTCAATTTAATTACTGTAATATTTAATTATTTTGTAAATTAAATTAAAATTTTTCCACTGAAAACAATTTTTTCATCTTAAATATTTAAATTATATTTTAGTTAAATAAATTTATTTTTTTCAATGTATTAATTTTGTTTTTACTGAATTCTAACATTTTGCATTGAAATTATTATGAAAATGTAAGAAAAACTTGGACTACTGTTTCTTATATTACAAAAAAAATTGATAATGAAAAAAAAAAGAAAATTTTGATCCGCTATTTTTTTTACAGGTGTTGCTCGTGGATGTGGCGAAGATGTTGCCGCGAACGGGAACTTCGGGCCAGAACGATACACATTGGCCAACCGATTCACCACAAATTTCCCACGAACGTTATTCGAAACCAGAAATACAACATTATTACATTTCTTCCAATGGTGAGTATTTGTTTAAAAAAAAAAAATATTTAAATTCAAGCAAATTAAAATTGTTCAAAATTAAAAACAAAATAGATTTTTTTTACATTTTTTAATTAAACATTTATTGTTTTTAAATTGAAAAATCAAAAAATAAAACAAAATTAATAATTATTAGAAAAATTAAAAAAAAAAAACTCATCTTAATAAATCACTTTAAATAAAAATAAATAATAATATTAATTAATTTGATGAGTAGAAATAATAATGTTTGAAAATTATAAAACATAAATTTCCTTTAACTCAATAACTTTTTTATAAAAAAATCACACAGTTTATTTTCTTAAAATTTTTTAGAAACAAAACATTTTTATTTTATTTTTTTACTTTTTTAAAAATTAATATTATTCATAAAAAAAAAATTGTTATCATAATGTTGTTTTTAAACATAGAAATTCTAACTTTGATAAAGACCTAAAATATGAATATGATTGGCAAAATGTTGAAGTTTTACGTATAAGAAAAATAAATTAAATAAAAGGCTACTTGCTGAAATGTTTTTTAAATAAATAAAAAAAAAAAAAGGTGAAAGTAACATAAATAGGACATTCCACGTGAGATTTTCATTTCATATTCTTTTTTTTGGGGGACTGGAACATATTTTTCGAAATCTTTTATGAAAAATAAAAAAATACGTAATTTTTGATTTGACAAAAATTATGAAAGTTATGATTTCTTATAATTTAACGTCGTCAGAAGTAAAGTACTTTTAAAACCGGTTTTTCTCTTCAGCACTAACAGATAAAAAATAATATTATGTATGAAATTTGTTCGATTTTTCTTCGATATTTTAAATATGTCGTGAAAAATAACGTAAATATAACGGAAGTATCTAAAAAATTAAAATTAAGTCTAAAAAGTAACTTTTCTCAAAACCGAAATAAATGATTTTTGAAATATTTGTGTCTCTAATAAATAAGAAAATTTTTTCCGTTTTTTCGAAAACAGCATTTTTTGTAGTTAAAAAAACTATTTACAGTTTTTTGTATATTCATATAGATTTTCAAGTATTTATTTTCTAAATATAATCTTTTCTTCTTATCATTCATTTGTTTTTGTATATTATTTTCAGAAATACATAATGCAAATTTTTGCATCTAGCTTAAAAATTTTAAATAGTATTTTAGCGATAAAAACATCACTTTCGCAAAAACATAAAAAAACGTAAACAGAAAAAAAATTTTCAAAATTCAATCAATTCGGTTTTCAGAAAAATCACTTTTTCATCTAAATTTCATATACTAATATTATTATTTTTTTATCAGTTAGTAGAACAGAGAAAAATGTATTTTAAAAGTAATCTGCTTTGAGAACGTTAAATTTAAAACAATTCATAATTTTTTGTTATCAATAAATTGTTTGAAATTTATTAAAAATAAAGAAATAGAAAGCAAACTTTTTTGAATACCTATAAAATATAATATAGGTATTTTTCAAAATAATTAAAACTTTAAAATATTTTTAAATAAACAAATTTTTGAAATATTTATTGTTTCTCAACAAAAAGTTGGTATTTATCTATAAAGTAAAAATAAAAAATATATAAATAAAAAATATCTAAATATTTAATAATATTATTTCTTTTGAGTTTATATTTATAATTAAAGCTGATTTAAAGAGAATGGTGATCGTAACATAATCTTAAACTAAAAAAATGTTTTTTAACGTAAACAAAAATATTAGAAAAATTATTTTAATTAATTTTGGAAGAACTAGTTATATATATATACATATATATATATTTTTTTTTTAAAGTATTATTGAGTCAAAATCTCTTGTCAAATAATGATTTTCTCTTTTGATCTCAAACAAAAATCACAATTTTTATTAAAATTTTTATAAACTTATTTTACCCATTGAAACATTCTCTACAATCGTAATTTTTTCAATATTATTAAAATTATGTTGTTAAAAAATTATTTAGATAAAAGCAAATGTGATTTGTTTATAATTTTTTAAAGGCAATTTTTTTTAACATTGAAAAAATTACAATTGTAGAGAATATTTTGAGAAGTAAAATAAACAATAATTATTTATAAAAATTGTCTAAAAGGAAATTGTGATTTTTATCTGAGGTGAAAGAAAAAAAAATCAAAATGTTAAAAAAAATATATTTGACTCAACATTTTTGACGATATCTTTCAAAATTGATTGTAATTAATTTTTATTATATTTTTAGTTTTATTGTTTAAAAAACATAGTTAAAAAATCAATTTTTAATTTTGAGATTATTTTACGATCAACATTCTCCTGAAATTAATCATCATAAATAAGAGTTCAATACATTATAATTCTTTTTTTTTTTTTTTGCTAAAAAATTCGAAATCTAAATAGGTAAATCTTCATTTATCGACAATTGCTTCTAGAATTTCTTGCATAAGATCCTGACGTGAATAGAGTTCACCAAATTCTGATGTCGCTATTGATTCCTTAATATTTTGTCGAATAAATTTCAATGCTTTTGCACGTAAATTTTTTGCATTATGCCGATCGGCTAATAATAAAATACTTGGTGCTTCTCTTATTGTAATATCACAAAATACTTTTTCACACATCTCTTTTAATTCCTCAATTTGATATTTATCGGCCGCTTCAAGAATTTCAAATGAATAATTCTTTAAATCCTTTACATTGCCAGTATAAATGAAACGTAACATTTCATTGAATGCCACTGGATGTATGTCTGGTATATTAATAACATTTTTTGTTTTCTCTGATAAATTTTGTTTAAACATTGCACGAAATACAGGACTACGAACTGATAGTATTGCTTTATGAACTTTAAAACTTGATTCGCCAACATTAAATGTAAAATCGGTTAATAATTTTTCATGTCGTAAATTATTGAGATCAATTGACAATGGACAACGATGAAAACCAGGATTTTCATTGCTCGATATATAAAATTCAATGACATTACATTTAATCATTAATGAATTGCTTGGATCAATTTTTTCAATTGATGAACTTTCAATTTCTAACATCCAAATTTCTAAATCCTGATTTTTTGTCCATGAACTTGTTGATTTATAAATTCGTGAATCAGACGATGATAATTGATTTTGTAATGATGTTTCCATAATACATTTTTGTAATTCATCACTTGGCTTTATTTCCAATTGAACGAAATAACTTGATTTGCCAGCTTGACGTGTATGCTTTGATAAATAAACTAAACGAAATTGAAATTTTGTCTCATAATTATAATTGGAGGGGAATTTTTTTGATTCCGGTGGTGTACTTTGAAAAATATCAATGTGAGAGGAAAATTCTTTTATCTCCCATGTACAAAGTCTTTCGGATTTTATTATACTTGTAGTTAAATGTATACCAGTTTCGTATATTCTTTCCGATGAATTGTCAGACATTTTCTTTGAGTTGGTGTTATTATCTGCAAAAAAAAAAAAGAAAGAAAATTTATTATTTTTTTTTTTTTAAATCATTAAAATTAATTAAATTTGGGTTTATTGAAAAGCCATGAAAGTAACAGGCTTCGAAGTGATACACTTTTTTATTTTTCTGATACTTTTTTTCGACAAGGCTATTTTTTTACTACTAATTTTGGCAAAAAACCACTAAATGCTACTTTTTTCAAAAAATAATTTTAAAAATGACAAAATTTAAGAATTTTAAATTTTAGCGAATTTTTTGATTCCTAAAAGTTTGCTAAGTTGATGATTTATTATTGGCCGCGTGAACTACTGCTGTATATAATTATTTTTTACACAAATTTTAATTTTTCAAAATAGCATTTAAAATAAATTCTTTCTAAACGACCTTTTACTCAATAGAATTTTTTAATTTGTCAAATTTTTTGTCAGAATTTTTGTTTTACAAAATTTCTCTTTACCCAACTGTTTTTTTTTAAATAATTCTAATTTAACCGAAATTCAGACATTAATTAAATTTTAGAGTATTTTGAATTGAAGAATGAAAATAAATAATTAAATAATTGAAATGCCAAGATCTTGATTAAAGTTATTAGAAATATTTATTTCAACAAAAATTTGAATCAAAATTTTTAATAATATAATTTAATTTCAGGAGATTTTGAATTAAAATTTTTGTAAATTAGAATTATTGCTGAAAATTATTAACAAAGTTTAAAACAGTAATTGAATTTTAGAAAATTTTTAATTAAAATTATTTAATTGAATTTTTGAATAATTGGATAAAATTTATTGAAATTATTAATTTAGCAAAGAATTTTAGATACAAATTTTAAAAATAATTGAATTTTGGATTATGATTTTCAGATATAATGTTGTAAATAATGTTGTTATTAATAGTAATAATAATAATGTTGTTTTAAAATACTAAATATTTTATATAAGCTTCCGATTCCAAGTTCTAGGATTTAAAAATTCGAATTACTTAAAATTCTATTGAATGAGAATTCTAATAAATTAAAAATAGGTTAAATTAGAATTATTTTCAAGAAACAATTGGGTAAAGAGAAATTCTGTCAAATAAAAATTCGATACTTTGAAAATTTCGTTGAGTAAACATTGGTTTAAAAAAAATTTTGTCTTAAATGCTATTTTGTAAAATAAAAATTTATGTGAAAAATCATTTTTATGGAATAATCATACGCTACTTAAACAAAAAGTTAATCAAAATTTAACAGTAGATAGTTTTTTTTTTTTTAATAATCAGGAGAAAAATGATAAAAGTAACAAAATTGAAAAGTATTCATTATTACGAAATGTTCACAATCAAAAATTTAAATTGTAATTTCTAAATAATTATTTTAAATAAAATTGAAGTTAAAATTTTTATTTATTTTGTATTTTTTTGAAATATTTACTCTTATTTACAAATAGTAAAAAAAAACTAATAATATAAAAATAAATAAATTTACTATTTGGACTGTTTTGTTTATTTTTTTAAAAATTACTAAATAAAATTCTAATAATTTATTTTTGATTTAAAAATACAAAAATAAACTAACTTCTGCTTAACTAAACAAACATTTCAACTATTTTTCTAACTTTTTTGTTTTTCAAATTTTTTATTTGTTAATAATTTATTTTGTTCATTTTTTTTTTGTTATAAAATGATTCCGTTTATTATTAAATAAATAAATCTGTTTTTCAGTAAAGTATCGCATGTCCTTATTTTCATAAATCTAATTTTGAGAAAAGGATCTGGATAAAAATTAAATTAATAAATAAAATTTAACAAAAGTAAAATTGGTAATTAATGAAAAATACATTTTAAAGTATTTTGCCATTTTTATGATTTTGTTGAATTTTCTTTTTTGTATGTTTTCTTAAATAGAATGAAAATCAATATAAAAGTATAAGTCACCTAACCTGGAAGAAAGAAGGTCAATTTCTCTCTAATTCATGTCCCATATTTTTAATTTAATATATAAAATAATTTTCTTACTTTATTTAAAAAATAGAATCGAAATATTTTAACTAAACGTTTATATTGTTTTTGTGAATTTCAATTTAAATTATTCTCTTGACACGCACGACTTTAACAATATATACTAGAACTTGACCACTTTTTCTATATATTAATTTTCATGAATGTGATTTTCAAAGCTAGTGCTGCCAACTTTGTTAAAGGAAATTTTAAATAATTATATATATATATATATAACAATACAGTGAATTTGCTTTTGTAACAGTTAATAATTATGTGTAATAAAATTTATTATTCTCACGAGGTTTAAAATAAATGTTGATACAACGTTTTGTATTTGATGGTATATATTTAAAAGATTATAAAAAAAAGGGTTTATGTTTATTTTACAAAAATTGCATTTTCCGATAGAAAATTGTACAAATTTTAACAAAAGTTTTAAAAAATTCGAAAATTTGAGTTTTATTAAACTTAAAAATAAATTGACAAATTTTAGAAATTATGGTAAATCGTCATCGTTAAAAAAATTTTCTATTTAAGGAGGTAAAATCGATGAAAAAAAGAAATGTTTACATTTAACAAATTAATAATAAATTAAATTAAATAACAAAATTTAATTAATTTTTTTTACTTAATAATATTTAATTTGTTGATAATTTCTGAAAACAATAAATATTATTATTATGTATCAACAAAAATTAATGAAAAAAAAGTGAAAAAAAAACAATTTTTTTTTCAGGTACTATATCAACAATTCAAGTTTTTCTTGAATTTATTCTTCCTGATAATGGCGTTATCTCAATTTATACCAGACATAAGAATAGGATATTTGTACACTTATTGGGGACCTTTGGGTTTCGTTTTAATGGTAACAGTCTGCAGAGAAGCTGTGGACGATTTTCGAAGATATAAACGAGACAAAGAAGTCAATAATCAAAAATATTATAGACTCGTTAAAGGTTTCAATACTCCGGAATTAGTGCCCAGTTCAAAACTGCGGGTTGGCGATTTGGTGAGTTTTATTTTATTATTTTTATTTTACAATTTTAAAAAAAGAAAATTTATTTTTTACATAGAATTTAAAATTTAAACTAATTTTATTAATTATTATTATTTTAAATTATTATTTTTTTTTTTGAATTAAAAATTTTTAATACAATTAAGTTTTCTTTATCTCTACATTTTTTTCCAATATCAATATTTTTCAATTTTGACATTAATTTACGATACATTTTCCTACTTTTATTAAATTATCAATTATTGAATACATATTTATAAAAATTGTTCTCCCCTCAAAAATCCCTTTCACTTAAATCAATTTACAATAAAAGAAAATTTTTCTTTAATTAAAATAAATTTAATTACTTACTGAAAACTAATTTACTTTTTTGATATAACTATATATAATTTGTATTTATTGATTATTTGATTGATTTTTTATAATCATTATCAGTTTAATTAATTTATTTGTCAATTATCATTATCTGACTAATCAATGATTGAATTTGTTTATAGGTGATTGTTGAAAAAGGACAACGAGTGCCTGCCGATCTTGTTTTGTTGCGTACGACTGAAAAATCAGGTGCTTGTTTCGTAAGAACTGATCAATTGGATGGAGAGACAGATTGGAAATTGCGATTAGCAATTCCAGCGACACAAAAACTCGAAAACGATTTACAATTGTTCGATATTAAAGCGAGCTTGTTCGTTGAAAAGCCGCAAAAAGACATTCACAGTTTCATTGGAACGTTTACATTAATTACTGGAGTAAGTTTCTTTTTTTTCGGTAGTTAATTTTTTTCTCACTAAATTCTAACTAAAACAAATTATATATTTAATTCTTTTCAAATTTTATCAATACTTACATTTTAACTTAATTAAACATATTTTTTACAGATATATTATTTTTATTATTTTTTTTCTTTCAATTAAATTTATTTATAAATATACCAATAAATTTAATTTATAATTATAAGGAGATATAAAATTTGAATGTAATTCTTTATACTGTAGTTTGAAAAATTTTATTTTTAAAATTATTATTTTTTTTATATTTGACTATATTGGTTTGTCTTGAATTTAGATTATATTTTTTTTTTTTTTTGCAGCAATACGATGGATTTAGTAGCGAAGAAAGTTTGGGAGTGGACAATACTTTGTGGGCGAATACGGCGATTGCTTCAGGATCGGCGCTTGGAGTTGTTGTTTATACCGGTCAAGAAACGAGATCGTTAATGAATCACTCAGCTCCGAGATCGAAAATTGGCTTATTAGATCAGGAAATTAACCAATTAACAAAGGTATTTAAAAATTTTTGTTCTTTATTTTATTTTTAAATATATAATGATAATAGGGTCGGACCATTATATTTGGACCAAAAAAAAATTTAATTCTTCCAGAAATAATTCTCTGATAAAGATGACCACCATATTTTTGTTTCAAAATTCACTGAATAAATAAAATAGGAATTTAACAAAAAATTTTATTTAGATAATATTTCAAAATTAAAATGAGACAAATTTTCAAGAATTTCAAAAATTTTAGATGAGATAATTTATGGAAAATGGGAGAATTTGTATACAAAATTTTTTTAAATAATTGAATTTTAGAAGAACTTTGTTAAAATCATTAAAAATAATTAACTTGGCGAAGAATTTTAAATAGATATTTTAAAAATAATTGGTTTTTTAAAAGAGCTACATTCCTGATTTTTACAATTAATCAAATTTCAGAAATTTTAAATTGAACATTTTTTAAATTTGAATTGCCGAAGTTTTTTACAAAAATTTTAGACAATAATTGAAGTTTAGGGAATTTTTAATTAAAAAATGCTTTAAATAATTTAATTTTTGAAAAATTCCAAATTATTAAGTTTACAGACTTTTTAGATTCAAATTTTCAAAACAATTCAATTTCAGAGAAGATACAGTTTGTACTTAAAAAAAGTCATAAGTATTATATTTTTAAATTAATAAAATTAGTTAATTTTAAATTTTATTTTGTAAAACAAGTAGAAAAAGTCGATTTAAAAAATTTTTTAAATTTAATTTAATAAATATTTTATTTCTATTAACCATTTGTTGTTAGATATTAAAAATAAATTTTAAAAATTCCTTAATAAGAATAATTGCATAAGATCGAGAAATTTATTTAGACACTATTTCAAAACTGAAGTGAGACAATTTTTCAATGAATTTCAAAAATTTTTATTTAAAAAAAAATGCGAATTCGTAACTTTAAATTTTGCACATTTTTGAAATTATTATTAAAAATTAAATTATTATTATTATGATTAATTATTATTTTTTAAAAATTATTATTAACAATTATTAAAATAAGTCGAAAAAAGTTTCTTTTAAAAAAGAAATTCAGAGAAACTCGTACATTCCGAGGTCTGCACTTTTTAACAAGAATTAATTCCATGAATTTTTTAATTATTTAAAAAATTTCTTAAATTTCGAAAAAAATATTATAAACTTCTTGTTTAAAATATTGATTTTAATTTGAATAATGAATAATATAAATATTGATTAGATAATTCTTTAATTTGAAAATATTTTTATTATTTGCTCTAACCAAAAATTATAAGAAAATAAAATATTTTAAAAATAAATTAAAACATATTTAAATAAGAAATGAAAAAACTTGTTGGTTCTTTGCAAAATATTTATTTAAAAAATTTATTGAATTTTTTTGAAATTGATTTTATATGATTTTGGTTTTTGATAAAATATTTAACAATGTTTCTTTTTTGTTTTCTTTTTAATAGGTTTTATTTTGCGCCATGATTGGTCTTGCATTAGTGATGATGATTTTAAAAGGATTCAGTGGGCCTTGGTATCGATATATGTATCGTTTTGTCCTATTATTTTCATATATAATTCCCATTAGTTTACGTGTTAATCTCGATATGGGAAAAACATTTTATGCCTGGTGCATACAACGTGATAAAGAAATTGCCGGCACTGTTGCAAGAACAACAACAATATCTGAAGAATTGGGAAGAATTTCATATTTATTGAGCGATAAAACTGGTACATTGACACAAAATAAAATGGTCTTTAAGAAACTTCATCTTGGAACAATTTCCTATGGTCAGGAGACATTTGATGAAATCACATCTGTTTTGAAGAGTTATTATACATTATTGGAATCGGGAAGTTTACCTGGTAATGCATATCCAAATGTATGTATGTATCCAAATGTAATACAAAATCATTCGGGAAAAGTGAGAAGATCAGAGAATACAAGAATTTTGGACGCTGTTAAGGCTTTGGCACTTTGTCATAATGTCACTCCAGTTTATGATGACAATAGCAGTAATAATTTGGATTCGGAAAGTGTTGAGACTGTCGAGACGGTAGATACAAATTCAATTGAGAGGTAAGTGGATTAATTTGTTTTTTTTTTGTTTTTTAAGGTGAGTTTTGTGCAAAATTTTTTTTAACATGTGTATAATTATTAACAAATTGATGATACAATTACTTTTTGCTGAGGTGAGTTTTTACTGTGATATATTGATGTTTATTTTATTTATTTTTTTAAAATTAAAAATTCTAATATTGTTTAACAAGATTAACATCATTTTTTTTTGTGAAATTGTATATATTTTTCGAAACTAACATTACATTAGATAATCTATTTAATTATATATACAAAATAATGCAATTTTTAAGCGGGGCATTTCCACGAGAACAATTGAATTTTCGTCTCAATTTTCACCGAAATGAATTTTCATATCGTAGAATTTTTATTTTACTATTATTTTCAATTTTACCGAATCTTCTTTAATCTAAACCTAAAGTGTAATGAAATGTAATATGTATATATTTTTAAAAGAATTTTTTAATTTATAATTTCTATTTTATCGATTTTTTTCTATTTGGCACAATATTTTGCAAGAAACAATAATTTATCTATCGAGTTTCCAATCTATGAAGGTCAGGTAAAATAAATATAATTTAAGCGGGAAATTAAAATCGGTAAATGAAAATTTAAATTTTTCGCGTACTATAATTGTTTATTTATTATTTACTGTGCGTTTTTATTATATTTGAGATTTTCTGTTTTGTCAAATCTTTTTTTTTTTTATTAAAATGTTTATTAATCAGAATTTTGAACCTGAATTTTCAGTTAATAGAATTGTAATTTTTATTTAACTGAATAATGTTTAAATAGCAGTTGTTTTCTGTTTTTTTTTTCTAATTTTATTAACAATATTTTGTTGAAAGTTATTGAAGAAATAAAATTTTTGTTTTTTATATTTTTTCAACAAAATATTTTTTAACAAAAACAAGCAGAATTGTAGAGAATCTTTCAAACTAATATTTATAAATATTGGATACAAATTTTAATTGTTCACTAACTGTAAATAAAAAAAAAAAGTTCACTTTTATTATTATTTGACAACAAATTTTGGCTCAAAATAATTTTTATTAGAAAATTATACAACTGGATCTTTTAAAATGTAAAATTAATTTTTTTTATTTGCTGAAAAAACTAATTTTTAATTTAAGATTATGTCAAAAAGTTAAAAACAGCCTTAAAGGGATATTCGGTTTTATAAAAATTGCACAGTATGAAAATTCAATTGAATAAAAAAATTCTATTGTAAAATTTTCGTTAAATAGAAATTCGATATTAAAAAATTTTCTTCATTGGAAATCATAGAAATTTTATTTTCAATATCAAATAAAGTAAAAGTATATAGCAATTTTATTGTTTTTAATACTGAAATACTTATTTCTTTTAAATTTTACACTAAACAAATTTAATTTTAAATTACAATTGGTAAAATTAATTTTAATTACATTCTCAGAATCTTTTAAGTTATTAATCATAACTGTTTTACATTGTTTAAATTTTTTTTTATAAAATCAAATTTAGTTTTCTTAAAAACAATTTGAATTTTGACTATTGAAATACCATATTTTAGTGTTTTAAAAAATGTTAACAAAGTTCTAGAAATAAATTTTAACAATTTTTAACAGTTTAATTAAAAATATTAACAATTTATTAACAGTAAATTAATTTAAAAAAAATAAACAAAATTTTAACAATTAGTTAAATTGAAAATATTAACAATTGAATATTAAAATAAATTTGTAGTAAAAAGGATTTTAAAGGAAATTAAATGAAAAGATCGTAGAATCAATAGAAAACTCTTTAATAAAAAATTTAAATCAATTAAACACAATTTTTTTTTTATTTTACATAAAGTATTAATACGTTGATTATATTATTTTCTCTTGGAACTTACATTATTATTGTCTCTAAAAATAAAAGTCTTTAATAACATTATATATAATAAACCTGCTCTTTTTTTTGGTTTAAATATTAAAATAACTTTTTTTTCTTTGTATATAAAAATATTATTTCTTGTTATTTATAGCAAATGCAAATTCTTAAACTTAGTTATTAACATTACAAAATAATACTCAACGTTTACATTAACATCTATTTAGAAAAAAAAATTAAACTTTTTAACATTTTTCATTTAACTAAATATTCAAAAAACTTTTTTTTTAACTTTTTAATTTAAATACTTTTTTTTTTAGAATCTTTCTTCGTCGTACTTTATTTTTTGAAGTTTCTGTGAAAATCTCTTGAGTTCACTGGAAAAATCAATTTTCCTCAATTTTTGTGGTTCTTTAGTTTTGGATAAAATTTGTTCATCATCGTCTGGTGTTTCTTGTTTAAGAATATTGGTAACAATCGTTGAAATATCATTCTTCAACGATGATGTTCTTTCATTGACACTTGAAGAATCAGAATATGTATTTTCTGTTTTTATTTTATCAATTGGTAATACATTTAAAAATCTAAGTGGTAATAATGCCTCATCGGGAAGTTTCGATGCAATCGATACACAGGCATTGAAATTTTTACCCAAATTTTTAAGCATATTTACATTTGGTTTTATATCTTCGGAAATAATTTCCTCTTTTATTTTTTCTTCTCTGTTGGTCCATTTTTTTTCTTGTTTCTCATAATCTTCATCATCATCATCAGATAGTCGTTGTTTTTTAATATTACGTACATTATTTGAAATTTCTTCGAATTTGCGTTTTTTTTCAATTGCAAAATTATTATAATGTTTGTAATCATGATGATTATCATTAGAATCTGAATCATTATTAGAATTATGATAATTATCAGTGTCAGAATCATCGTTATTATCATCATCATTATATTCTTGTTTAATTAATGCTAATGGATTTACAATAATTGATTCTTCCTTTTCTTTGAGTTTCTGTGCTTCTTTCTCCTCTTCTTGTTTTCTTCTTTTTTCTTCTTTTATTTTACGTTTCTTTCTTCTTTTCTCAGCCATATCGGGAAAATAGTAGCGTTTCTTTGTTTTATAACGTTTTTCATTTTCCAAATATGGAGAATGTGATCTGTCATATAAATTTCGGTGATTTTTGATATTCAATAATTGTTCCCTTTTATTTCGTTCCATTTGTGTTTTAAAACTTAAATCAACATTTTTTGGCGGTTTATATGTCATGGGTGGAGTACGTTTTCGAAATGTATTTGGTTTTTTCTCAATAAATGTCAATGGAACCCATGCGTTATCGTCATCATTATCATTTGTATCATTTTCAATTTTGGTTTCATTTTGCATATCTCTTTCTGTATCGACAAATACATTGGCAAGAGACGAGGAATAACTTCCCTTTGACGTTGATGGTAAACAATAAAATGGATTATTATCATTGTAATGTGAAAAATGATTGTAGTATTCATCTCTATCGTCTGATTCATTCTTGATTGGAGTCACTGGTCGAACTGATGGAATTGGTGAATTATTATATTTTTTTGGCTCTTTATTTTCTTCGTTTGACGAGGCAATTTCAATGACACTATCACTACTGTTTGTGTTGTCGTCAACTTCGTTGAGTAGAGCTTGAATTTTTGCAATTTTCTCCAATAATTTTTCCTCCGATTCGTTATCCAATTTTTTTGCATTTTGATTGCTTCTTCGATTATGTTTATCAAACATTTTCTCTGCACACAAAATGAAATTATTTTAGAAATTTTTTTTTTTTCGAATTAAAAGTTTTATTTCTTGAACGTGATAATTTTAAAAAAAAAATTTTATTGTATTTTAATTTTAAAAGAGTAATTAAAAAAAAGCTCTTGTACTATTTTTGATTTAAACGATTTTTATTTCGAATGTTTATTTTTATATTTGACGTTTCGAAGCACAATAGTTATATTATAATTATTTTTCTAAATTGAAAATTAAAATAAAAATAATTTTTTTGTAGATAATGAGAAATAAATGACAATAATATTAAAAAGTTTAAGTTTTCAAAATTTTCCAAATAATAAACATTGGAAACTATTTTGATTTTCAATCATTTAATTTATAAATAGTTCAATATTGCCGAGTAAATTGTAATTTTTAATAAATTTTTTAAATGATTGATTTAAAAAAATTGAATTTAAAAAAAAAATTACTACATTGAAATTTAGGTCGTTTATGGACAAAATAATAAAGAACTTTTTTTTTTACTATTCTAAATTAAGGAGGTGCAACCTATTGACATAATCTCAAAATAAAAATTGATTTTATTAACAAATAAAATTATTAAAATTAATTTTACTTAATTTTAAAAGATGTAGGTAGTTGTACAATTTTCAAAAAAATGTATTTTCAACCAAAATTTGTTGTTAAATACATAATAATTATTTAATTTTTGGTTGAAAAATTATTAAATAAGTAAAATTTGTATTTCTTTATATTTTTTCAATTAAATATATTATTTAACAAAAACAAATAAAATTGTAAAGAATCCTTTAAAGAGAAAAATGAGCTACTATTTTTTGAAAATTGTTCAACTAAATCTTTTAAAAATCTAGTAAAATTAATTTGAATTATAATTTTATTTGGTAATAAAACCAATTTTTAGTTTAAGGTTTTATTTTCAAGGGATTAAACCGCCTTAAATGATAGATTTAAAAACAGTGAAATTTTGAAATTAAAGAAAAAATTACATTTTTTTTCAAAATTATTTTATCTGTTTCGAATAAATTAATTATTGCTAAAATTAGTATATTAATTAATCAGATTAGTGTATCAATTTTTATTGTTGTCCAAAAAAAAGAAAATTAGTTATTAAATTCATTAATTGGAAGAAAAGAAATTCACATTTTTAAATAATTATTTTTGATTTTTATTATTGCCCATTTTTACATTAATTAACGTACATTAGAGTTTTTATATTTAACATTTGGTATTTTATAACAAACAAATTATTTTTAAATACATTTATTTTCTAAAATTGATAAAATTATTTAATTTCACCTTTTAATGAACAATTTCCAGATTTTTAAAAAAGTCCTTGAATTAATTGGAATTAAATACAAAATTTTGAACTAATTTCATCTGAAATTCAAAGTTTTCATTAAATTTATTTAGAAGTAATTTTAAAAATTAAAAAATATATTAGCTTTTAACTAATTGATTTTATATAGAATTCAATTAGAATTATGAATATTTCTTTGCAATTGTTTTTTTAAAAATAAATTTCATTAAATTTGACGTGTTTTTAAAATTTGCAATCTTTTCTGAAAAATTTCTTTTTCACTTTCAGATAATTCAAAACCTTCCATAACAATTGGTTTTTCATTTTTCACCAATGCCAAATGCATTAACCAATCTGTTTTCACCAATTTTTCTTGACCTTTTCGCAAACTCTGCAAAAATAATATTTAAAAATTATTAAATTGTCCATTGTTAGTGAAATATTTTTTTTTTTTAATCATAAATTAGCCATAATATTTTAATTTTTCATTAAATTTCAAAAAATTCAAACTCATACTCACATGTAATAATTTATGTTCCAAATTGGGATCAGTTTTTGCTTGTTTCTTCAGTGTTGAAAATTTGAGAGCAGATATTCCTATAATTTTTTCTATAAACTGAAAAATACAATTTAGTTTATTTATTTTTTTTTTTTAATTTACATATTGCAATATTTTTCTAGATGAAAATACCTGAGATGAAAATTTAACTTTTAAAGTTGCAGTACCATCCGTTATTACACCAGTTAATTTATAAACGCCACATTTGTTGGTTAATTTAACAATTTCTTTAACTTGCGCTTTAATTGTTTTATATAAAACTTGATCCGTCAATGTCATGACAATTAAATCACAAATTAAATCGCAATTTTTCGGATATTCTTCACTATTTGTTATTTCCATTTTTTCTTCGATTTCAAAAATTCCCTCCGATTCTGAAACTCGAGGTGTTTTATTTTCACGTGAATTTAAAAGATTATCCACACTCTGAAAAGTAAATATCGAATTTAAATTTATTTTTTTATTTTTACTATATAGAAAACTTGTAATTTTTGAAAAAAAATATTTTATAAATATTTTTACCGCCAATCGTTTTGATCCAGTTGGTGATTTTTCCATGTCACTTGGCAAATTTAATAATTTATTTAGTCGCATATCGAGGTTATGATTTGAAATTTTTGTATTATCATTTTTTGACGATTCTTTTGTAATTGTTTCCAAATTTATTTGTTCATTGGAAAATAATTCCGAATTTGTATTTTTTATTTCCATATCTAAATTTTTTATTTTTGAATTGAATTTTGGAAATAGAGGTTTAAATGGTTTTGAAATTTTTTTCTCATCAATATCAGATGTTTTGTTGTTTAGAAATCCTTTAAATCCAAGAGATTTTGGTCTTTTTATGGTATTTGATTTGTTTTGAGAAAATTCGTCGAATAATTTATTTTCATTCTGAGATATTTTGTATTTATCATTTTCAATGGAATCTATTGAAGTTTTATTTTTAATCGAATCATTGGATGAACTTTTATCGTCAATTTCATAAGTTTTATTCAAATTATTAATATCAAATGTTTTTTTAGTCAATTTTTCCTCTTTGTTGGAAGAAATTTTGAATTTTTGAATTTCCAAATCAAAATCAATATTAATTAGATTATTATCGTTTTGTCGATAATTTAATTTTGAGAATTTTGAATATTCACTTGTATTCGAATCGTCATCGATAACTATCACATCGTTATCATTTAAAATTAAATCATTGGAAATTGGTGAATTTGGCAAATTCTTTATTTTCTCATTTTCGATAAATTTTACATTTTTTTCTTCTTCATTTTTTGTTTTAGCATTTTGGAATATTTTCGATTCCTCAATATTCCATGATTTCAATAAATTTACAGAATTGGAATTTTTTTCCTCAAAATTTTGATTTTTCAATTCGCTAATATTGTTTTTATAAATTTTTGTAATTGATAAAGAATTATTTTCACATTGACGATTATTGGATAAGTTTTCCAATTTTAATATTTGTGGATTTATTTTACAAGTTTCGTTGGGAATTGGAAAATTTTCATTTGTCATTGATGGAAATTCATGAAGTAAATCGGGATCATTTAATAGTGTTTCTAATTCATCGTCGAAGGAATATTTATCTTGAGAAATTAAATTTTTTTCGTAATTTAATTTACTCACGGACTGACGATTAATAGTTGAAATATTTTGAAGTGAATTTGAAATTTCTTTATCTTTACTGTCTTGAGATCGTACCAATTGTACTAAATCATTTAAATATTCTTCCTCGAGTTCCATTTTTTCACATTCTTTTTCTTTTTTTACATCGTTGTATGGATCTGGATTTTCTTGCCAATTCCTAAAATAATAATAATTATTATTAAGTTAAAGATTCAAAATACTAAAATAATATAATTAAAAAAAAAAAACTAACAGAAATCGAGCCAAAACATTTTCCACAGAATTCACGATTAATAAATCTTCAACTTCGCCACCGAGAATGACAATATTTTTTTTCTCAAGTAAAATTATTCCACGTCTACATGTTATTGGTCCAATGATTTTTAATTTATTGCCCGGCAATAATGTATCCTAAATAAAAAAGGAATAAATTTTGTTATGTAGTGTAAAATTTAGATATTTAAAAAATTTTCTATTCTTTTGATTAAATAAAATATAAAGTTATTTAAAATCAAATTTCAGTACTAACGTTAAAAAGATCGATAGACTTGTATTCAATTGCTTGAATTTCTTGTAAACCATCGCTAAGATATAATTGATACATCCTTTTTCCTTTTGGTTGGAAAATTTCATTTTTTTCATTTTCTTTCGTTGCTTTTATATTTTCAACGTTAATATTTCGAATTTTATTCAATTGTTTGTATTTTGATGTTGAAATATCGTACATCTTTTCTATCTGATTATTAAAAAATACATATTAACGAATTAAGTATCCCTTTTTTTTTTAATCAATTAATTTTCGTATTTTTTTTTTTTTTTAATTATTTTCATTTCCAAATTTCCGAAAAATTGTATAGGGTAAAATAATTTCTTTTATTTGCAATTGTTGAGAAAAAAAAAAAAATTTTAACAAATAAATTTACTAACAATAAATTTTTAATTCGAGAAAATTTAAAAAATTCATTTTTATAATTTATTACCTGAAGAATATAACAATCATTGAGTATTGTTGATTTTTCTGCAGAAAGATTCTTTGGTAAACATCCATTTTCGTTGTTAATTTCACGTAAATCGCCTAAAAGCCATTGTTCAATAGCAAATGATTGAATTTCTTCAATTGGTATCTGCACATATATATTTTTTAATTTTTAAATTAATATTTGAAGCGAAAAATTTTCAATTTTAGAAATTATCCATTTCATTGAAAAAAAAATTGCATTTGAAAAAAAAATAAGAAATAACAATAAAAAAAATTTTAACCTACAAACAAATGAAAAAAAAAATCAATAATCTATATTTTTACTTACTTTTGGATGAGTTTTTAAACAATATTGAACACATTCTCTCAACCAGGATTCATTAAACGTAAAATACTTTGATTTCATATTAATTTTCACTCGTGTAAATATTGTTTCATTCATATTTGACGAATTAGTTTTTTTTTTATAAACAAAAAAACGAGCACAATAAAATTCACTGAGGTTATGTTTAACAATAAATAATTTCTTCCTTTGTCACTATCTTTTTATTCACTAATTTGTTTTTTAAATTTTCACACTTTTGGAATCTTTAAAAGAATTTCTGGAAATATTACGAAAATGCATGAAAAAATGTACGTCACTTGGAAATATTTCGCGAATAATTTTTTTTTTCGGTAAAAAGTTAAATTTATTTTTAAAATAATCGTTAAGTAAAAAAGCGGGAAAATTTGAAAAAATTTAATTTCAATAGATTTTTTTTTTAAGAAAAAATAATTGAATATAATATTAATTTCTAAATTATTTTAAATTTTTGAATGTTTTAAAAAGAGAAATTTAAATTGCTGACAGATCTAAATATACACGCTTTACATCTGTCAGCTATTTGAATTTCTTTTCAAACCACTTCGTTGTAATATTAAGTATGTAATAGTAGAACAAAATGAAAATTCTCGAATATTTTCTATCTGCTGATAAAATTATTATTGTTCACAAAATTAATATAAAATATTAGAAATATTTTAAAAATTATTTTATGTATTCAAATTTTTAAAACTGTCTTATTTAAAATATTTGAAAAAAAATTTTTTTTTGATATTTCAAATTTAATTAAAAATACCAATGTAAAGAATTACTAAATTACGAATTACGAATTAATAAATATTAAATTATAAAAAAAATATCAAAATATAAAGAACAAATTATATAAAGAAAAGCTTCAAAAATAGAAAAAAAACAAGTTTAATTTTTTTGCTCAATTCAATTTCATAAAAAAAATCAATGTTGTTTTTAATAAAATAGGTACGAAAGTCATGTTTTTTTCTGCAGTGATATAATATTTTGAATTTTATGAGTTGGTTATGTGTTCTCACCGGTGATTCATAATATAAAATTCTATAATATTCTTATCAAAGAAATACGCACCATAGATACTATTTTTAGTAAAAAGCGTATAAAAATAAATTCACTGTTTTGTAATTTATTTATATTTGCAATTGTTGTAATTAGTAAAATCATAAAAAAAAATTACAACTTATCAATTTGAACAAATATTATTATAATTTTCAAAGACAACTATTAATAGTATTAATCTAAAACTTTTTTAAATTAAAACACATAGAAATGAATTATACTTACTTTAGTAGAATGAAACGCTCGTTAATCACAAACACAGAATAAAAATTTACAATGATATTGAATATTTAAAACATTTATAATAGAAAATCATCTGACAGAGTATCGATTGTGACTTGTCTCTCTCTCTGTTTTTGTCGCCATTATGAATTTCGAATGCATTTGCGATACTTCCAAAATCTTAATGAATTCTCAACAATGCACATGCGTGAAAATAACTGCTCTCATTGGCCAAGATACGCGCGTATTTTAAATACATTAAAGTTAAATAACTCTTTTTGTTTTTATTAAAATAATGATTGTTTATTTTTATTTTTTTTTATTATTGTATTATGTATATGTTTTTCAAGATTTAAATACTATTTTATATATAAATAAAAAAAAATTTAATTTTAAATATCATGATGCACACATGAACAAACGTATAAGATTAGGTTTTGGAAATATTTTAAATTCTGTTTTACATGTGGATTGTTTTTATTTTTCTATCTTGGGCAATTTTATTGTTTTTATAAAATTTTAGTAGATTGGAGATAAAAAATTTAATTTTCACAGTTTTAAAAAAATATTTTTTCGAAAAATATTTATTAATATTTTATTTGTTTTTAAAATTTAGTAAATTTTTTCTAGTATAATTTATAATTATTTTATTTGATTTTAAGGGGGGGGGACCGCTGAAATTTCAACCTTTCAAAATTGAGCGTGTCAATTTTTTTTCCAGTTAATATTGAGTATTTAAAACTGTAATATACTATGGGAAATTGATAAACAATTAATTTAATAATAATTTTTAAAATAAAACTCGAAATTTTCAAAAACTAAAAATTTTAATTTCTGTCACAATTTTTATTATTTTTCACTACTGATTTTTTAATACACTTTTTCAAGATTCTGAACAATTAATTGTATTGATTTTGAAAAAATTCAATTTTTGAAAAATATAAAAAAATGCAAAATTTGTTAAAAATAACTTTTTTTTCATTTTTTCATAGTGAAATATAATTTCAGGTTGTAAAAAAATTTGTAAAAAAAAAATTGTTACCCCTAAACCAAACCAATTATGTTTGGTTTCAATTTGATCAATTATTCCTTAAAAATTCAACTTCTTCTACAATTTTCATTATTTTTTATCGGTAATTTTTTTGTAGGCTTTTTTCATATGATACTGAACAATCAATCGTATAGATTTTTAAAAATTTTAATATTTTCAAAAAATAAAATTTTGAAAATAGTCAAGAAACATTTTTTTTTAATTTCGATAATTCACAATAATTTTAGATCCAAAATAATGCCAGAAAAAAAATTGACACCCTTTAACAACATTAATTTCGATGAATTTAAATTTCACCGATTAACAAATAAGTTCATTTTTGTACATTAAAATATTCAATACAAGTTCGTATTTTAAAGAAAATTTTATTCTTGTACATATTTTTGGTGAAAGTGATTTTTTTTTCTTTTCTGTATTTTTAAGACCATTAATGACCATTTTTTATTGCTCCTTTTCTACAAGTGTGATATTTTACTCGAACAGATTGTAACCTCCCTCTATATATTTAAATATTTTTAAATGTCATAAAATTTAGGTACACACTAAATAAACCTTTTCAAATTTTACCTGAAGCAGGTAAATTAAAAATTAACGAAAATCATAGAAATATCCAAATTTGACAAAATTCTGTTTTACTTTTAAGAAACCTGAAATAAAAACGTCCCTATTTTTATATTCTATTGTACATCTAAAACCAAATTATTATTATTTTTCTAAACTTTTCTACAAAAAATAAATAATAATTTTATATTATTATAATTATTTATAATAAATTAATAATTATTATTTATTTTACTATTTAATTATTTTGTTATTATTTATTTATTTATTATTTATTTTAAAAAAATAATCCCTTTATTTTTTTTTAAATATTTCAGAATAAGTTATATCGTTTATCCATAAATAATGATTTTACTATTATTTTCCTTTTTTTTCAGTTTACCTTTAAAAATCCGATATGATTTCCGTTTCCAACAAAATTCAATTCAGTAGGTACATTCATTAAATTTTTAAAAGCAAAAAAAGAAATGACAATAACATTTTATATAAATAAAAACTCTTAAAATAATTCTTTTTTGTTTTTTTTTATATAAATATTGTATTTGACTTTACAAATTTCTATATTCATTTTTTGTTTTTTTTTTCCAGTCAAACAGAGGCAGATCAACATTATTATCCATCGGAGCAAACACGAAATTATCAAGCTTCAAGTCCAGATGAAGTTGCCTTAGTTAAATGGACTGAGGAAGTTGGTTTGGCACTTATTAAACGTGATTTAAATTCAATGCAATTAAAAACGCCATGTGGAAAAATTCTCAATTATAATATATTGCAAATTTTTCCATTTACCTCGGAAACAAAAAGAATGGGAATTATTGTTAGAGAGGAAACAACTGGCGAGATAACATTTTATTTGAAGGGTGCCGATATTGTAATGTCGGGAATTGTTCAATATAATGATTGGCTTGATGAAGAATGTGGAAATATGGCTCGTGAAGGTTTACGAACTTTGGTTGTTGCCAAGAAACATTTGACTGAAGAACAATATTTAGATTTTGAAGCCAGGTAAACATTTTTTTTTTTTAATTTCATTTTGTAATTCATTATATCTTGCTCCAAGTCGTTATGGTCTGTTTTTAGAAAAATCTGCGATTATTCGTTGAAATGATTTTTTTTATCTTAGCAGGGATCACAGTTGATTTTTTAATATCCAATTAAATAAGAATTTAATTGACTGAACCACGGAATTTATTCATATTCAAATTTTTAATCAAATTTTTTTTTTATTTAACAAATTTCACGTAACATAATTATTCAATAACATAGGGAGCATAAATTTCACATAAAAATCATTAATAAGAATTTATATTTTAAAGTATTTTATTAGAAACAATTATTTTCAAGATGAATTTTCAATTTTGAAATTAAAATATGACAGAATTTCTTTTTATACAAATTTTTACTTAAAAAAATTTTTAGCTACCGAATTTTTGTTTGGCAGAATTTTTATTTTATAGTAATTTAATTTACATGACTTTTTATTTGAGAGAATTTTAATTTAATCGAATTTTAATTTAGCAAAATTCTCAATTAATTGAATTTTATGTGATTCGAATTTTTAAAGAACAAAAATTTCTATTCACTGAATTTTAATTTTTCCGAATTTTTATTTGTACGAATTTTTAATTGATGAAATTTTTAAGTCGCCGAATTTTCATTTATCCGAAATTACAAATAGCCGAAAACACAATCGACAGAAAGAATATCAAATTTTAATTTCAAAATTGAAAATTCACCTAAGAAATAATTATTTATATTTCTAATCAAATACTTTAAAATAAAAATTCTAATTAATGATTTTTATGGTAAATTCATGAGCTCTAATAATATTCATTAGTTTCATTTCAAAGAATTTTATTAGATAGAATTTTTTTTTTTCTGTTCTGGAAAACCTGGAAAAGTCTGGGAATTTTAGAGCAGCAAGCTCTAATTAAATTTTTTTTTTATCTTTTTTGATATATCGAATGAAAATAAGTGCAAAAATTAATTTTAAATCATATTTAACTGAATTATTTTTCTTTTTATTTGGATGTAAAAAATTTTGTTTTAATACACTTATTTCTAATTTATTTTTGATAAAATTTTTTTATATTAATATTAATTAATAATACATTTAATTAGCAAAAAAAAAAAATGATTTTCAGGTATAATGCAGCAAGATTGTGTGTTAGTAATCGAGTGTCAAGAGTTGCAGCAGTTGTCGAAAGCCTTGAAAGAGAAATGGAACTTTTGTGTCTTACTGGAGTTGAAGATAAATTACAAGACAGAGTCAGATCAACGTTAGAATTATTAAGAAATGCGGGAATAAAGGTACCTTACTTTTTCTCTTATTTAATTAGTTTTTATTATATTTATTTTATTTAAAATTTTCTTCAAAAGTAATATTCTACAGAATAAGATTCTATCATATCATAATTATAAAAAATTTGTTTTAGACCTTTTACATGCGTCCCATTTATCAAACTAAATTTTATAATTTTTTTTATATTCAGAATTGTTAAATAATAATTTTTTTATTATTATTCTCGACAAACCGATATTTTTTTCAAGGATACAGTTTTTTTTACATATTGTACCTCTTTATTGCTTAAAAATTGTTAACATTTATTAAATTTTATTAAAAATTTTACTTTTTTTTTATTAAAAAAATTTGTTATAAAGTAAAATTGGGATGTAGAATTAATTTATTAAATTGCAATTTGGGAAAATGAAAAAAAAAAAATTCACGAAAATTGGACAAAATTAGCCATTTTTTGGCCATTGGTTAATTAATATTAAATATTTTTCAGATATGGATGTTGACGGGAGATAAAATGGAAACCGCGACTTGTATTGCAAAATCATCTCGTCTTGTTTCTCGAACACAAAGTCTTCATATTTTCAAATCCGTGGTGACAAGAACCGACGCACATTTAGAGTTAAATACATTTCGAAAGAAACAAGACTGTGCATTGATTATCAGCGGCGAATCATTGGAAGTATGTTTGCAGTATTATGAACTTGAATTTTTGGAATTGGCATGTAGTGCACCGGCTGTTGTTTGTTGTCGTTGTTCGCCAACTCAAAAGGCCGATGTTGTCAGTCTTATTCAAAGGCATACGGGCAAAAGAACAGCGGCAATTGGCGATGGAGGAAATGACGTGTCGATGATCCAAGCCGCCGATGCTGGTGTGTATTTTTTTCAATTAAACTGAGAGAGAAAAATTTATATTTAAACAAAGAAAAAGAAGAAACCATTTTTGAAAAACTTATGAAAATTTAACTAAATCAAAATTCAAAATATTGAATTTCCATTTTTAATCACATTTTTATTTAGTAGAATTTCCATTTCACTGAATTTTTGTTTTTGATAGAATTTCTAGTTTAATGTAAAATTAGAGCATAATTGGGAATTTATTTCTATTTTTATTTAAAAATTTGGTAATTGTCATTTAATCAAATTTTTAGTTAAAAGATTTTTTTGCAGTTTTTTATACGTAAAATAAAGTAAAGTAAATATTAAAATTGTATATAAAAATTTTAATTTTTTAGCAATTGTTCATTTTTTTATTAAATTAATTATCTATGCTTTATCTCTAGTTAGATAAGAAAATGAAATAATTAAATTAGCTACCTGAAAAATTTGTCTAAATGGAAATTATTTTATTAATAAAAATTTAGTCGAACGGAAATTTTGTTTAATTTTATTCAATTGAATAAAACTTGAATTATAAATATTCGCTACTTAAATGAAAATTTGTCTCAATATAAAATCTTAATAAAAATTTTCTCAATTCAAAATTTGGTTAAATAAAAGTTCTGTTAAATAAAAAATTGATAAAACCAATTTTGAAAAGAAAATTCAATTTATTAAAATTTCAGTTAAATAAAACTCATGTTAAATGGAAATTATGCTAAATAAAAATTGATTTGTATAAAAATAATATCTCTATTGAATATAAAATTCAGTTTAGAAAAAATGTCATCATATAAATATTCGGTTAGTTAAAAAATTCGTTTAAAAAGTGCAGTTTAATATAAATTTAGTTAAATGGATATTTTCATTTCTTAGAATAATTAATAATTGTGAAATGAAAATTCGACATTTTTTGGAATTCTATAAAATTGACAATTATTCGTGCAAATAAAAATTCGAACAAAAATTATGATCGATTATAATAAAATCGAAATTCTATGTATTTAAATGTTCGGCTCAGTTAAAATTTCGAAAAGTAGGTATTTTATTTGATAAAAATTAAATTAAATAAAAATTTCGTTAATTTAAAAAAATAAAAATTCATTTAAATGAAAATTATAACCAATGAATTTTAGAATTTATTTTGTCATCGTTTTGTTGACGTAAAATATTTTTCAAAAAAATAGTTTAACAGTTTATTAGGGTTATTATTACGAAAAGAGAGGAACAATGATTATAATGACAATAAGTGTGGCTTTTGAATTTTGTCCTAATCCTGATCCTAATCCCGTTATAAAACTAAATTTGAGAAATTTTCAAAGAAAAGAATTGAAATACATTGCTATAAAACATTTATAGGCAAATGTTTGTCCTAAATAAACAAGTAAACTTTTTTTTAAACGAAGATTATTATTATTAGTATAACACTTAATATCTGATTATTTGACAAAAAATAAAATTGTTACGACTTAACGCAAAAATTTGTTATTGACGTTGAAATTCTATGAACGAAAAATTTTATCATATATATTTGATGAAATTGAAATTTTATTAAATAAACATTTCATTAAAATGTTTTTTTTTTATTTAATTAATATAAAAAATAAAAATCTAAAAATATATAACGTGTTTTTGAATGTAGAAATAATATAAAAATGGCAAATTTGTTATTTTCAGGCATCGGACTGGAAGGTCTTGAGGGAAGACAAGCGTCACTAGCCGCTGATTTTTCAATTCCCCAGTTTTGTAATTTAGCAAATCTATTACTGGTCCATGGAAGACGCAGTTATAAAAGGTCTGCTGCACTTAGTCAATTTGTTATTCATCGGGGACTAATTATTTCAACGATGCAAGCAATATTCTCAGCGGTCTTTTATTTTGCATCAATTTCTCTTTATCAGGGATCTTTAATGGTTGGGTACGTATTTTCGAAACTTTATTAATGAACAATTGAAATTTTATTTTTGTTTTTTTAACTTTAAATTTACTTTAATATTAAAAATTGAGAAACATGGTTTTTTGATGTAGAATAAAAAAATAGTATTAGATTTTGTTAGGTGTGTATTTTTATATAATTTATTATTTCTTATACATATTAGTGGTGTAATAATAAATAATTAAAGTAATATTTATTTTAATTTCTTTAGATATGGAACTTTATATACAATGTTTCCTGTATTCTCGTTGGTTCTCGATAAAGATGTATCAGGAAAAATTGCTCTTACTTATCCAGAACTTTATAAAGAATTAAGCAAAGGTCGTTCTCTATCCTACAAAACGTTCTTCATGTGGGTTTTAATTAGTATATATCAAGGTGAGTCACATAGAATCTTTAAGTACTATATTATTATTTTTATATCTTTTACTAATTTAAATAAATTAAAAATAATAAATTTAATTATTGTAAAAAAATATTAATGTTTTAATAATATTTATGCACAATACAGTAGTGCCTTTGTTTACAAAATTTAATATTTACCAACAAAATTTTGCATTCTAAAATGTAAAATTAAAAAAAAAATGTCAAGACTAATTCTACATTTTTTTTGTCTCTAGCTAAAAAAAAATTCAGTTTTTTTCTATATTTTCTACTTAAAATTCATCATTTACGAGAAATAATAAAATTAATCAAAATATTTTTCATTTTGTATTTTTATGTAAATTATAATAATTTTTTTAAATTATTCGGTATTACGACTTTTGTTGAAATGTAAGGCAATAACTGCATTAATTTTTATCATTTTATTTGTTTTGTTAAAATCATTTTTTCATAATTTGATTTATGCTTTTTTTGATCTAACGAATTGTATTTGGTTTTGTTTCATTTTATATGCTATTAAGGCGATTCAACCCCTTGACATTACCTCAAACTAAAAATTGTGTTTGTCATCAAAATGAAACTGTAATTAAAATTAATTTTACTAAATTTTCAAAGATTTAAAATTTTTTGTGAATTTTTTTAGAACAGAAGAGACATTTTTTGTTTAAAGTTAGTGAACATTGTAATTTTTTATTCAATTTTTATAAAAGAAATCTCATTGTATTGCTATTTGAAAGATTCTCTACAATTCTGTTTGTTGGTTTTTGTTAAATTATAGTTTGTTTAAAAAAATATTAAAAAAACACAAATTTTTGAACAAAATATTGTTGATAAAATTCAACAAACAAAATTGTGAAGAATCTTTTAAAGCGTAAAATGAGCTGTTATTTGTAAACATTAGAGAAAAAATTATTATTGTTTACTAATTTTAAATAAAAAACACAGAAGCTTAAAAAATTATTATATTTTTAACAAATTTTGACTTCAGAGTGTTGAATGGTCTCTGAAATTTTTTGGCACAGACCCTTAATTACAGCCCTATAAAAACTGCACTATAAACGTGAAAATTATGAACATTGATTTTAAAATACTTTTTTCTCGAAACACGAATACTTTTTATAAAATCGGCCAAAATACCAAGGATCCTTATTTTATTAATTTCCTAAATTTTAAAGATTGTGCGAACCAATACAAAAGCGTGATTGAAAATTGAAAAGTAGAAAAGTAGAAAAGTAATATAATAAAAGCTGCGACTTTGTGCTCCCTGCATGCTTCTGACATCTGACGGCGACAGGACGTAACGAAACATAAACAAATATTTCAATTAATAATACTATTATAATTTCAATATTCAGGTATAAAAGGACAATTAATACAATAGGGTGTCATAAATGGTTTATTATGACTAGACTTTCAGTCGCCTCTATTATTATCTCTCCTTATTTTTCTTTTTGGAATATTAAACTATTATTTTAATTTAACATTTTAACACAAATTAACTTTTTAACGACAATTATTAATCAAATTCGAAAATTTTTGTTTTCTCTAACTCAGAAATAAATTCTGAACAAATTAAAAATGTAATTAATTTTTTACCAAAAATTCCGGTACAGTCTATTTGTTTATATAAATTGTTTAAAAATATAAAGAAATTTATTGCAAAACAATTGTTTAATAAAACGGAAACTTACGCGCAAAAATCCCAAGCAAATTTATTTTAAAAAAAACAAATTTTTTTGCCCTCAAATAATTGTAAATTGTAATTGTTTATAAAATTTGTTTAAATAATTAGTTAATTGCAAAACATTTTTTTTTCTTAATAGCGGCTTAAATTTAATATTAAATTGTAAAAATTCGATTAATTTCTGGTCAAAAATAACCGAACTTTGTATTTGTTTATAAAAATTATTGTAAAAAATAAGAAAATTTATTAAAAAACAACTCTTTAAATTAAAAAAAAGGTTCAATGACAATAATCAAAAGCAAATTTACTTAAAAAAAGTAAGAGACCGTTCGACACTTAAAAAATAATTTCTTTTTAAATTGTACAATTTAAACCTTCAAATTTGTATTAAAATGAATTTTAATTGAATCGTGAATATCGAAAAAGGCTTAATTCGAAAAAGTGTATCATTGTTGCATAACAATTGATAGTGAAAATGACTTTTAAGGTTTTTAGAGTTGAAACCTTTTTGAAATTCACGATTTAATTATTATAGTTTTATTTGTTATTAAAATCAACTTTTTCGTTTGAGGTCACGTCAATAGATTCAATATCCTTAAGTTTTTTGTTTTTGATTTTCTTCATTTTAAAATTGTATGTTTATTTTTATAGAAAGATATCAAATATTCCTTTTCACGTGAGTTAAATTATTTTCTCATTCACATAAATAATTTTCTTTATGCTCTAAATAATTTTTTTTTTTTTAAATTGAATTAAACTTTATCGCTTTTGGAAAAAAAAAAAAATATTGGTTTTTATTTTTACAAATGTTTCTTTTGGTGTAAAATTTTGATTTTTCAGGAAAATTTAAATTAAAAAATATATATATATATCTCTTTTTTTTGAAGAGACAAAAATGACGTTTTCAAATTTCCAGGTGGAGTTATAATGTACGGAGCGCTAATAATGTTCGAAGATGAATTCATTCACATTGTGGCTATTAGTTTTACTGCCTTGGTCCTTACAGAATTAATAATGGTTGCACTGACAATCAGAACGTGGCATCATCTTATGATTATTGCCGAAGTATTCTCTCTCACGTTGTATCTTTTGTCTTTGGTTGTTCTTAAAGATTATTTCGGTAAGTAAACAAATCATTTTTCTAAATAATTTTTTTAGATTAAATATATAATTATTTTAATTTAAAAAAAAAATGTTTCATATAATTAGTAATTTCAATTGAATTAAAAAAAGGTTTAATATAATAATAATTTTAATGAGGTACCAGTGAAATTTTCGTTATTTTAGTATCAATTTTTTTAAGGGTATAAAATGATGATGCGTTATGAAAATTTAGGAAAAAAAATTTTTTAATTATTTTTTTTATAGAACTTAAAATCTCATTTTAAAAATTTCCTGACTAATTTTTCTTCTGCATTAAAAATTTTTTGAACAAATTTCCCTGACTTTTCCCTGATTTACAGTTTTTTCCTGACTTGCGGCCACTTTGAAAAATTTTAAAAATGTAATTCAGCCAAAAATTATTTTTCTTCAATTTTCAATAATATGGAATATGATTTTAGGTTCGAAAAAAATTAAATAACTCTACATAATGCAAATTTTGATTAATTGAAATTTCACTGGTAATTTTTTAAAAATTGAACTTCTTTTACAATTTTTAATATTTTTCATTAACATTTTTTTTTAAACTTTTCTTGATGACTTTAAACAATCAATTTTATAGATTTTTAAAAAATTTTCATTTTTTCAAAGAAAAGTGTTTCTAAAATTGTCAAAAATATTTTTGATAATTATTATATTTTTTTAATTTTAATAACGTAAAACATTTTTAAATTCTAAATAGTGACAGGAAAAAAAAAATTGTTACCTAATAAACAATGAAAATTTTAGTATAGAAATCTAATTTTAAAAAAGAATGATTAAGACCTAATAATAAATTGTTTTTAATCATTGTTTTTTTTTATCTTTTGTTTGCATAGATGCTGAATTTATAAGAACTGAAGATTTTCTATGGAAAGTATTGGTGATAACGTTAATTTCATGTTTACCATTGTATATACTCAAATTTTTAAGGAAGAAATTTTCTCCGCCAAGTTATACAAAATTATCGTAATTCAATTATATTAAACGTGAAGAAACTTCCAAAAAAAAAGAAAAATTTTGTAATTAACAAAACTGAGATGAATAATTATTTTTCTAATGGCCACAAAAATGACAAATTTAATCATTCACATTCATAACTCGTTTTTATTTGGGGAAAAAATTTTTTTTTTTTCATTTTTAATAATTTTTTATATTAATTTGCGATAATTGTAATTTTGAATTGAGAAAATTTCTCTACCATTATTATTATTGCGCTTTAATATTTTCATTATGTAACACACAACGAGCTTTTAAAAGTTGGCATTTTTAATTATTATTATTATTATTAATATTGTAAAATTAAGTTATATCCCTTTATTTTTCACTTTTATGCTTCAGCATTTGTACAGATTTATAAATTTTCGTATCGCATATTCTAGTTTTAATTGTATGTAATATATTTATAAAAAGAAAAACAACTGTATGTTATTTACATAGATAAATAATAACGATGAAATATTTCTTAGTAATAAGAATGTTTTTTTAAATGAAAAAACTTAACACATTCCAAAAATATCGATATAATCATTAAATGAAAAAAATTTATTCCATTGGAATATTTTTCATTGAATTTAATTTACATTTATTTTAAAATTTAAATAATTAATTTTTTTTTATAGATTATTTAAAATGTTTAACATTTATAATTTAATGGAAATTTTTAATAAAAATTTTTCAGTAAAATTATTGAAAAATTATCTAATGATGACTTGAAGTCGATCTTTTAATGTATTTTCTATTTGATGATGAATTTTATTCACCTCCTCTTGATTCAAAGCTCTTTCTAAATGTCTGTAAATAATTCTATAGCAATGTGAAGTTTTTTTTGTCTTTGGATGAGTAAAATTATCGATCAATGAGATTTGTTCAATAATATCGCCTCCAATTTCTCGCACAATGTCATAAAAATCTTGCGAAGAATAAGTTTCATTCTCAGGTAACCAGAAACTTATGTCATTATAACATTGTGGATGAATGCTAACAGGCTGAAAAAAAATTTATTTTTTTAATTAAAGGCAAAAAAAAAAAATGATAAAAATTTAAAAAATTTAAAATCTACTAAATAATAATCTATAATAATATATTAATTTATTTATTTTTATGGGTTGCGATCAAATATTTAAAAATTCTAATTTTAATATATGTGAAACTCGATTATTCCCTGAGTTCATTAACCATAATATTATGGTAAAAATTTTATTCCCTTTAAAAATGTTAATTATTAAAAGTAGGAAGTTCACGATGTGATTTCGTATCCCTAAATTTTTCAATTTTTTTTTAAAAACGTTATTATTAAAAAAAAATTAAAAATTAGATGTTGGAACTCACCAAAAACATAAATCACTTTATTCTGCGGAACGAAAGAATTATTACAAAAATTTATTATATTTAAATGATATATGATTTTAAAAAAATACTATTTTTGATAATTAATTAATAAATTGAACGAACTTACCTAAAGTGAAGTTCAATTGTAATTGTATGAGCTGCCTCGTCCGAAAAGATCAAATTAGGTAGTTGCGTTAGTAACCGTTTGTTCTGCCACAGTATTTCAAATTATAAAGTTTTTTAGCGCTACTCTTAGGTGTCGCTCCTATCTCTTCCGGTTCCTGTCATTACATTTTAAAGTCTGGAGTAAATCACGTAATACATTTTTGGGCTTCGTCAGGAGTTAAGGGCCGGGAGGGTTTGATCTTTTCGGACGAGGCAGCTCATACAATTACAATTGAACTTCACTTTAGGTAAGTTCGTTCAATTTATTAATTGTATTTCGCTGCCTCGTCCTCAAGATCAAATTAGGTAGATATTCAGAGTTAGAAGTGATTTACGTCGTTCTGTTTTTGTAATGTGGTAAATATATTTACTTTCATTACAAGTACAAATTAGTTAATACCTATAGTTGTATTTTAATTGAACGAATGATGATGAGAAGAGTATATATATAAAAATATAAGAATGATAATAGTAAAATAGAAACAAAGTATTTTTTAATTTTTTCTCAAAATTGCCGCTGAAAAAGATGATTCTTTTGCAATTGGACGATTATAAAACCTTGCGAATACCGTGGATTTAGGTGTCCATCCAGCTGCTTTACGAATTGTTTCCAAATTGACTCCCTTGCGAGCTGCTGCTGAAGTCGCAGCATGTCTAGTGCTATGTGTAGAAAAAGTTTCCGTATCTATTCCGCTCTTACTTAGAATATTTTTTATCCACCTACTTAAACTTTGCGTGGTGGCTGCATGATGCGGTTTCTTGTAGGTCAGGAAAAGATTTTCTTCTCTAGACTTTGTCCTTAACTCTGATGTTCTGCGGATATATTCCCTGAGGGTTGTTGCTGCACAGAGTACTTCATTGCTCGAAAATGTTGGGATTTCTAATATTGGCTGGTACCTGTTGCGACCTGTGGTTTTTATTCTTGATGTAATTTTGATTTGGATAGGTTCGATTTCCATATTTATGTTTTGCAACTTTATGGATGCTAATGTTTGAACTCTTTGCGCGGATATTAGCGCTAATAGAGTTGCTAACTTTTCCGTTAAATTTTCTAATGATAGATTGTTGTTTTCTCCAAGCGATTCCAGGTAAGTTAAAACCACTTGAGGATCCCAGGTCTCCTCGTATTTTGACTTAGGTGGTTTTATTGACGAGACTCCTTTAAAGTACCTCGAGACTGAGCTGTCCTTCCCTAGCTCATTGCCCGTAAGGAGGGATACAGCTGCTCTATAAATATTTAGTGTGCTGTATGAGATATCTGAGTGGAAAATTTGTGTAAAGAAGTCTAATGCCGCTGATGTTGAACACTGATGGAAAGAGATGGTGTTTTCTTGAGTGTACTTCCACCAGAGTTTAATCGGCTTCTCATATTGTCTCAACGTTCCTTCGGTGATTGAGGCTAACATTACATTGGCTGCTTCTTCGGATGCTCCTCTTTTCATGAACGCTTCCCTGATAAGCGTGCCACCACCAGGGTAAGCGTCTCGTGTAGAGGGTGTATTTTCCTGAAAGGACAGGTCAATAAATTAATATTAGGCTTAAGAAAGATTTGTTCTGAAGTCATTAATCGGATGAAGAGGGGATACCATGGCTGTGAGGGCCACATGGGTACCACGACTACTCCTTCAGCTTTGTCCTCTTGTATTTTTTGTAAAGTTTGCAAAACTAAACAAAAAGGAGGAAAAGCGTAAAAATAACGACCAGACCAGTTTATTGTAAAAGCGTCTATTGCTATTGAATCGGGATCGCGGTGCCAGGAGACGTATTCATTACATTTCGAATTTGCCCTTGAGGCAAATAGATCAATGTCAAATTTTCCGAATTTTTTCACAATGGTTTCGAAAGCTAGGTCTGCCAGTTCCCACTCGGTGTCATGTGGAAGTACTCTCGACTGTTCATCTGCTTCCTTGTTTTCTTTTGATTCTATGTAGGAAGCGTGTATCCAAATCATACGATCTTCACACCATTTCCATATACTCCTAGTAATTTCTGTTAGTTTCGGGTATTGAATTCCCCCCATTCTATTGATATATGAGATGGCCGTTGTGTTATCTATCCTTAATAAAATTGAACAGTCTTTGGAATTTTTGGCATGACATTTTAAGCCGTAGAACGCTGCTTTCAGTTCAAGGTAATTTATGTGAGCATCTTTTTCTTCTTTGTCCCACCAACCGTGAGCTTTTTCACCATTGCAGAAACTACCCCAACCAGAAAGGGACGCGTCAGTAAAAATTACTTTTGTATAAGAGTTTGTTCTAATTGGATTAATCATAGTTTTCGCGTTTCTAATCCACCATTCAATGTCTTCAATCACTGTGTCTGATATATTCATTTTTGCATTAAAATCATTATTGGAATTTTTTAGTGCGAGAAACTTTTCGCGCTCTAATCTTTTTGTGTATAACCAGCCATACTGAATAGCGGGGCACGCCGCTACCAAGGTGCCTAAAAACCGTGCAAGCTCTCTTATTTTGCAAGATTTCTTTTTCGAAAATTTTTCAGCTAAGTTCCCTATGGACTTTCTTTTTTCTAGTGGGAGTTCAACTGAGAACGATACGCTATTTAATATAAATCCGAGATACTTGCAATTTTTTGAAGGTGTTAATTCACTTTTCTCTGAGTTAATTACGAATCCTAAGTTCTCTAGCAGATTTTTTGTTAAGTTTATATTGTTTTTACATTCGTCCTCTGTCCTGGAAATTATTAAAATATCGTCAAGGTACACTACTAGTACTACTCCATTTTCTCTAAGCTTTTTTACAACCGGTTTTAAAATTTTTGTAAATATATAGGGTGCGGTACAGAGACCGAATGGTAACGCGGAAAACTCATAGCACTTATTATCGAAGGTAAATCTTAAATATTTTCTATATTTTAATTGAATTGGCACGTGTAAATATCCATCTTTTAAATCGATAGATGCAAAATAACAATCTGGTCTAATTAATCGGAGGGCTGTTTTTATGTCCTCCATTTTAAAATGTGGCGGGTTCATAAACAAATTAAGACCTTTTAAGTTGAGTATAAACCTGTCATCTCCATTTTGTTTTTCCCTTAAAAAGAAGGGCGAAAGAAACTGACCTGGGCGAGGTTTACACATAACCACGGCATTTTTATTTTCTAATTTCTTTATAGCATTTGCGGTCCTTAGGTGATCTTGACATGAGAGTTGTGGACAGCAGGGGAGTTTCTTTTGAATTGGAGTTTTTGAAAAAGGTAATTTATACCCACTTACACATTTTAAAATAAACTGGTCTGACGTTAGTATTTTCCAATTATTGTAAAAATTAGCTAGGCGACCGCCTATCTTGCTTACCTTCAGTTCCTCGGTTGCGGGTTGCGAGTTGTTCGAGATGGATGCGGCCCTCCCCGTCTGTGGTTCGAGTAACTCTTCTTGGGAGGGCCCTTCCAGTTTAAATCACCAGTTCTGGGTGCGGTTTGTCGTGAGCGAGAGGGCTGGTGATATGGCTGATGATATGGCTTTCTTTTATCTGTTTTTGTTATTTTAGTCAGCTCTTTACCGACTTTCTCGACTTCCCTTGCAGCTTTAAATTGTTCAGGAAAGTTTTCTCCAAATAGAGAATTGTCAACCGGCGAGTTTTCAGCAACAATTTTTAATTTTGAGTCTCTGCCAGAAGAGATGAAATTCCTTCTGGTTAGAGATATTTCATGGTGCAGGTCTGTTAAGAGTTTTCCTGAATCGCTGAGAAGAGTCAGTATTTCGCTTATCGAATGATTTTTCGAGTCTGATTTATTGTCTGACAGTTGAAAATTTAAAAGTTTACTTACAGCTGTACCTAAGGAACTTATAGCTGCTCCCAGCTGATTTTGTGAAGCTATCTGAAATTGGTCCTTTTTTACTCCTGTCTGACCAATAATATTCTTAATTTCTGCATTTAATGTAGGGGCTGCCATCATATTGCAATTTTCAGCCGGAGGATGTTTTTCGATCAATTCCTTACGAATTTCTTTTGATAGACCGATCTGCATAATTTTTTGCCACACTGTCGCTAATGTTTTGTTTATTGGTCCACTGAGCTTGACATTGGCGAAGGGGTCGCCCCCTAACTGAACTAAATCCGCTTCGTCCATATCCGTGACCTTCTTTACCGACTGTTGACTATCATTCTTTTCTTGTGAGGGCGCGCCATCTTTTTTACCTGTCGATTGCAGGTTATTCCGCTCTGGATCCTCCGGATCGTGTAAAGGAGAATGTGGTGAGTTTTCCGAGTCTCGGTAGCTATATTCCTCCTCATTCTCTGGCTGAGCGACATACCTTCTTATCCAATCTCTCGGGTTATGCCTTCCGCTGTGACTGTGCTCTTCCAATGGACTGTCATGGCCGCGGGACATACCTCGTGGATTTTTTCTTGGTGTATACGAGTCTTCGGATGAGCCTCTTCGGGATCTCTCATTGCTCGGATTCTTTTTCTTTTCCGATCTATTGCGTGATCTACCTCTCGACCTAGAGTCGCGGATAGAACTACGCGATCGGGATCGATGTGATGTTCTGCTGTTCGATGAGCTGGAACTAGAATGGCTTGTTTCAGATGAAGAATTTCTTTTCTTACTTCTTTTTCCCTTCTTCTTAATTTCTTTCTTTAATTTTTTAATCTTTTGTAAGAGTTTATCTGTAGAATTTCCTTTTCTACCCATTTTTAAACTGATTTTTAACTGTTTTTTATACGCCACGATGTGGTTCAGAACGCACAGAAAAACGTAATGACAGGAACCGGAAGAGATAGGAGCGACACCTAAGAGTAGCGCTAAAAAACTTTATAATTTGAAATACTGTGGCAGAACAAACGGTTACTAACGCAACTACCTAATTTGATCTTGAGGACGAGGCAGCGAAATACAATTAATATTTTTAAAGGGAATAAAATTTTTACCACAATTTTATGGTTAATGAACTCAGAAAATCATCGAGTTTCACAATTATATTAAAAGTAGATTTTTTAAAAATTTAATCGCAACCACTTTTAGAACGAAAGTCAGTGAACTGATTTATTAATTTATTTAATTATTAATTAAAATATTAATAATATCAAATAAATGAATTTTAATTTAAAAATATTCAACTATATTAATTAATATTAATTTAATTACTTTATATTGTACAGGAGAATTTTCATTATCAACTTCGAATTGATGTAAAAATCCCGAATCGGTACTCCAGAAAAGTCGAATATCGGGAATATTATATAAACGCATTGCCAATCGCTCGAGTCCCAAACCAAAAGCCCAACCCATTCGTTCGGAAGCTCCTGCTTTTTGTAAAATTTCTTGTCTCACAATTCCACATCCCAATAATTCCATCCATTGACCATTGTGAAATATTTCCAATTCCCAAGATGGATGTGTAAATGGAAAGTATTCGTTAACCCAACGATATTGAATATCTGTAAGTAAAGATTGATTATTATTAATATCATTATTAATTAAAAGAAGAAAACAAAAAACCTAGAATTTAGTTCATCGAAAATAATAAAAAGTACTAGAAAATTTTACAATTGCCAAAAAAAAGTCAATAATTTATAATTATTCCTACGAATTGATAGATTTTTATAAAAATAGACTTCAACGGACTATTGAATGAAATAATAGTGAATTTATCGTTTCTTCTTTTATTTAAAAACTATGTTAAGAAAGAATCAGAACAAAATTTAGTCCAAATCTATATTTTTGTACCTTTAAATAAAAAAAAAATAAAAATTGTGAAAAGTTTTTCAGTGCAAGTGTAAATAATTTAATTTTTACAATTTTGAACAATATTAAAAGTTACATTTGAATAAAATTTACAATTCTAGACAATAGAAAAAATTTAGTTAACAGTCTAACATTTTTTAAATCGTCTTTTGTGAGAAATTTTTTTTTCAACTTTATCCAAATGTAACTTTTTTAACAATAAAAAGTGTTAAAAATAAAATTGTCCACACTTTTATTGAATAAATTTTTTAAAAATTATTACCTACAATTTTTTTTTATACAAAGTTCAAACGACACTAATAAAATAAAAATTACCTTTTCCAAAGAGATATTGAGCAAGACCAACGAGACAATTTTTCAAATCAAATTCCATTATTTTCACTGCATCGAAACTATGACAACCTTGTTTATCAGAATTTTCATTGCCTCTATGTTCAAAAAGTTTTAAATCACGTGAATTTTTCACATTCTCAAAAACTTCATCGACAGTACAAATACGAACGCCATCGATCTGATGAAAAACTGGATAATGCTGTGAATCAATATCATCACGTCGATAAACATCGCCAACAATAAGAAAATTATTTAAACCCATTGCAACGAGTTCGGCTTGATGTGCAGTTGTGTGTGCTCTTAATAATAAATTTTGATTGATATAATAACAATCAGTTTTATTACGACTCACATGCTCCTTGGGAACTAAGAGGGAATCAAAATTTTGCTGTATCGTGACAATTGGATTTATATTGTCATAAATGCTAAAGAGTGGATTACCAGCATTATTCAAGTAAGTTTTATAAAAATAATTTTTTATTCTTCTTTTTATATGACCAAGAGGATGTTTTTCTTGACGATGTAAATTTTGACCAATTTTTGAAATTATTCTTGGCGTGATATTTGTCCAATTGTCAGTCATATATTTTTGATTATTAATTTCAATTTCATTTTGTGTATTTTCAATATTTGGTGCTGTTGAGAAATTATTGTTTGACGAACACAATAGACAGGAAAAATTCCTGAAAATTATTAATTACTATTTATATATAATATGTTGAATTTATGTTTTTTTTTTTTTTGTTTACTGTACATTTTTTTCTTCGTTTTCATTTTTTTTTACATTTTTTTTTACTTTTATTATAATATTAAAAATAGACGAAACTGAAATACGCAACATTTATATTTTATGATAAACGATTTTTAAAGAAATAATTTTTTAAAATGAAAAATTCTATAATTTTTTGCCTAAAGAATATTTCTTGTAATTTTCATTAATCAACAAATTATAAAAAAATATTTTTTAGGCAAAAAATTATAGAATTTTTCATTTTAAAAAAATTATTTATTATAAACGTTGCGTACTTCAGCTTCGTAAAATTGTAATTTTATATATAATAATAATAATATTAATTAACGTTCCCCAAATTTGTTTATGGTATAAAAAAACGACCATAAGGGCATAAAATATATAATGTTAATAATAAATTAACATTTTAAGGTTTCAAAAGTCGAATTTATGGTCCTCTTTAAAAATTTTATTTTTATAAAATATATTTAAGTAAAAGTACACAAATTTATTAAAATTTATATACAAAAATTTAAAAAGACTCTTCAAAATTTTTTTTTACAATACAATATTCTTCACATATATTAAAATTCAGAAATAACTAAAAAAAGACAAGCAATTTTAAATATTAAGTATAAAAAGCAATATTAAAAACTGTAAATAATTATAAATCATAAATTCCTTTAATTCAATAATTTATTTAAAAAAAACACCTTATTTTCTTTAATTAACATTTTTTTTTACTTTTTTAATTTAACTAAAATTAGTTTTCTAAGTTTGACGTTAAAGTGTAAATATTTTGTCAAAAAAAAAAAAAAAAAATTACAAGAAAAATTCTGAGGAATAAAATTAACATCATTTTTCTCCTGATTATTTTAAAAAATAATAATCTATTGTTAAATTTAGATTAATTTTTTGTTTTTGGCACAACAGTAGGAGCGTATGATTTTTCCATAAAAATGATCTTTCACATAAATTTTTATTTTATAAAATAGCATTTAACATAGAATTTTTTTTTTAAACGAATGTTTACTCAATGGAATTTTCAAAGTATCGAATTTTTATTTGACAGAATTTTTATATTACAAAATTTCTCTTTACCCAACTGTTTCTTGAAAAGGATTCTAATTTAATATATTTTAAATTTATTAGAATTATCATTCAGTAGAATTTTAAGCAATTCGAATTTTTAAAATCTAGTACTTTGAATCGGAAGCTTATATAAAATATTTAGTATTTTAAAACAAAAATTCTAATTAACAGTCTTCAAAAATTCAATTATTTCTAAAAATCTTAATACAAAATTCAATTATTTTTAAAATTTGTATCTAAAATTCATTGCTAAATTAATAATTTCAATAAATTTTATCCAATTATTCAAAAATTCAATTAAATAATTTTAATTAAAAATTTTCTAAAATTCAATTACTGTTTGAAACTTTGTTAATAACTTTCAGCAATTCTAATTTACAAAAATTTTAATTCAAAATCTTCTGAAATTCAATTATTATTAAAAATTTTGATTCAAATTTTTTGTTGAAATAATTATTTCTAATAATTTTAATCAAGATCTTGCCATTTCAATTATTTAAAACATTTTTCAATACAAAATCATCTAAAATTCAATTATTGTCTGAATTTCGATTAAATTAGAATTATTTAAAAAAAAACGGTTGGGTAAAGAAAAATTTTGTATAATAAAAATTCTATCAAAAAAAAATTTGCCAAATTAAAAACTCTATTAAGTAAAAAGTCGTTGCAAAAGAAATTATGTTAAATGAAAATTCGTGTAAAAAATAATTATATAAAGCAGTAGTTCACGCGGCCAATAATAAATCATTAACTTGGCGAGATTTTAAGAATAAAAAAATTCGCTAAAATTTTTTGAAAAAAGTAGCATTTAGTGGTTTTTTGCCGAAATTAGTAGTAAAAAAGTAGTCTTGTACTAAATTTATTATTATTATAATTAGTAACAAAAATTATAGTGATAATCTTTTTTTTATTAATATCAGTTTCATGTTCATCATTTCTGATATTTGTAAACATCTTTCTTTGTTGTCTTCATTTGTCGTTTTTGATAATATATCATTATAATAATTACACATTTAAATATAATAAACGATTGCAAAAAATAAGATTAATATTCATAATAAATTGAGTACTTTTTTTCTACTTTTAACGTTATTGAAAATATTGCAATAGAGACGAATATAATATACCTTTGCCTTGTGCTTCTCCAAAGTGAGGAAATACTCAAAATAATTCGCATATTTCTTGAAAATCTATCACTTCAAATTACTATGACAAATATGTAGAGGTAAAATTAACTTTTATTACAATTTTAAAATTATTCATTATAGCAATTAATTTATAATTATTTAAAAATCATGTTTTTTTAAAACATAACCTATAAAAAGGCGTGAAAATAAAAAAAAATAACTATTGATTTAAAAAGAGTTACAACTGCACTAAATTGACAAAATAAATCAATATTACAAATTTTAACTTCTCAACACTTGTTTTTGACAAGAAATATTTACAATAATGGAATATAAATTAATGTTTTTGAAGAATATAAATATTTGCAATTTTCAATAGCAGACGACAAAATTTTGAAGCTCCATCTGATTGGGAAATAATGGAAGTAAGGAATTTAAATTTGAATTCAATAACTGATGATATACTTACAAATTTACATTTTTACATTTATTTTAAAAATACAAAATAATATTCATGGACTATTCACATAATTAAATTTAAGTAGAATAATGAGAGTAACATAACCTCAAATTAAAAAAGTGTTTTTTATCGCAAACAAAAATAATTTAAAAAATTAATTTCAATCAATTTTGAGAGATCTAGTTATTTACATTTTAAAAAATATGATATTGAAACAAAATCTTTCATCTAATAATGATTTTTATCCAATTTTTTATAATCAATAGTTTATTTTACTTATTGAAACATAATTTGCGATTGTAATTTTTTCATTATTTCAAATAAATATTCAATTATTTCTTAATAATTTTTAAATAAAAAAATTTTATACATAAATATATTATAATTTTTAATTTATAATTTTTGAAGAAAATATTTTTAATATTGAAAAAAAATAACGATTGCTATAAGAATGTTTCAAAGACCATTTTCATTTTTGTCTGAGTAGTTGAAAGAAAAAAATTTTTAATGCTAAAAAATAATTATTTGACGCAAGTATTTTCAAAAATATTTTTCAAAATTAATTGAAATTATTGAAAATTTATTTTATTTTTTACAAAAATTTTTTTTTTTTTATATAAACTTTGTGATAAATATAAATTATTTATATCGAGACGCATGAATAAACTCAAAAATTAATTTGTTCTAATTTACATTTCGATGGAATTCTTAAAACGCAGAATTTTTATTTTATACAAAAATTTCATTTGTTCGAATAAATATTTGAATGAAAAATTTGGACTCAAATTTTTATGACAGATTTATTCAAAAAAATGGAAGTTCCATAAAATAAAAATTCGACGTTTCAAGAATTCTGTCAAATATAAATATTTCTTCATAGGGTCAGTTGGGGTAAATGGGGACTATGCTGTCCCCATTTACCCCAAATTTTAGGGAATTTTCTAAATTTTGGGATAAATGAGGACAGTCAGTTTCATGCGTTTAGAGCTTATCTAAATTTTTTTCTGCTACATAAAATTAATCCTGGGAACGTAAATAACAACTTTAAAAAATATAAACCCGCAAATATTACCTTTTAAAGGAAGAAACTTACGTAATTTGTGAAAAATAGCGATTTTGTCCCTATTTACCCTATATTTTTTTATTTTCTTATTTTTTAAAATAAAATGAATGGTTTATCTATGAGTAAAGTGAAAAATTCTAGTGGCCAAATGACTTTTTATTTTGGTAAATAAGAAAATAGGAAAACACAGAAAATTAAAAGGCATTAAAATAAGCTGTAACGCTTATTATTTTAATCCAAATTTGCTTATTTTAATCCATTTTGGTATTAAAATAAGCAAAATTGGATTAAAATAATAAGCGTTGCAGCTTATTTTAATCCCTTATAACTTTCTGTGAAAGAAACAAAAAATTTTTTTTTAATCACATTTAAACAAAAAAGATCATCAAAGTCCACTGTAAAACTTTTTTGCAAAATATTCTTAGTATTTCCTGGTATGTAAAAATAAAAAAAAAAGAGTATATAAAAAATCGAGCCTAAAAAAATTAATTTGTTTATAAAAAATAGTTATTTTTTACATATAAAAATTAAAAAATTTTATTTCGTTAACATATTATTTTGAAAGTCGATGAGAAATTAATTTATTTTTCTCTAAGTAAAAATTCCTAAATTCAATACTTTTAGAATTAGATGATTTTAAAAATCCTTGAAAAACCCAGATTTTTAAAAATTCATAACTCGAAAATTTGTGCAATTATAAAAAAATTTATACACATATGTACCACTTTTTTCTGCAAAGAACGAAAAAAAAATATTTATCTGAATTTAAAATGTCAGGTAAATTTCACTTAGAATTTTCCATATATAAATGAGAATGGTTTAAAAATTTGAAAGGCAGAAATTTTTTTCCTCTGCCCCCCCTCAATTTTTTCTAAAGTGAAAAAAATACCTTTATTTATTTATTTTTTTGAAATCGGAGAATATTTAGAGATTGTTCAAAGCCCATAAAATTTACAATAAATTCCCCATAAAACATGTGCGATTTTTGTTTGTAAAATTGTTAAAAATCAATTAAGTCAGTTCTATACTTTGAACCAGGTATTGAAAAGGATTTGAAAAATAGTAATACATTTTTGGTTCACTCTAATATTTATGTATATTTCAAAGTATTTTAAATATATGATGGAATTTTATTATATTTATAGGTAGACCTGTATTCCGAGCTGTGTGTTTACATTTTTGAAGAAACAAAGAGCCATAAACATTGTTGTTGGAAAATCTCAAAGTTAATTTAATCGCAGTTGCAATTTGTGTATTTACCTTTAGACGTGGTCAATTTTATAATTTGAAAGTATAGCTTCGAGAGTGTTCGAATATTTTAATTCGCGAACGAAAAAATTTTATGAGATTTAAACTTTTTTTCTTTCATTTTGTTAATAATTTGTTGCGGGAGTGTTCGAAATTCTTAAAATCGCGTTCGCTTAAATCTTTAGAAATAGTATTCTGTTTATGTATTAATTTTATGAAACGTGCGGTATCGGGAGTGTTCGAAATTTTTAAAATCGCGTGTGTTTCCAGCAGATCTTATCAACTCAAATCAATGATACATCGGTAGCAGGCCATCAGGTTAGTTTTATATATTTTTTATAAATAATTATATTATGCAATTGTTTTTCTACTATAAAATTTAAAAATATTACATTAATTCTTTTTACAAAAATATTAGTACCATTTAGGAGATCGGTTTTGAAAAATTCGGACCCCTTTATAAAAAAAATATAAATATTTTTTGTAATGAAAAACATTTGTAGTATTTTTATATAAATTGAAACAATTTTTATATATTTTACTTTAATTTTTACAATTTATACAATTGACATCTGATGTATCAACGTACTATATTTATTTATTTATTTAATACAATATAGTGAACCCGCGGTTCTACTAGATAGAAATAATATTTAAATTTACATCTATTAAATAAGAGAAGCTTCTCACATTAGATTTTCATTCAAAATTTTTTTTTTCTTTATAAAAAAATAAAAAATTATACATGTTTTTATTTGGTAAAAATAATGGAAGTTATATGATTCCAAAGTCGTTTTAGTCGATTTACATTTTAAGAAAAAACGATTTTTTATTTTTATTTATTTATTTATTAAAAAATATACGGCCAAGGCCTATTCGCACGGAGTACTATTAAATGGGCAAAAAACTTTTTTGATCATAATTAAGTTATACAGAAATTGAAATAAATTTTTATAAATTTGAATTGCAGTACTTTTTTTAAATTTCGGACAAGAATTTAAATTTGGAAATTTTTTAAATAATTGAATTTAAAAACAAATAATAAATAATTTAATTTTTAGAAATAATTAAATTTCAAAAGATTTTAAGTTTTCGAACATTTTTAATGTTTTAAGATTTTTAAAAATTTCAGAAAATAATTAAATTTTTATAGAATTTTCAATAAAAAATGTTTTTAATAATTCAATTTTTGAAGAATTTAATGAATTTTAGAATGTTTTAAAATCCACATTTTTAAAAGTAATTGAATTTGAAAAGACTTCAAATTGGAATTTCTGAAAATTTAAATTGCTGAAAAGTTTTTTAATATCTATAAATAATAAAAAAATGTAGAAAAAGTCGTACAATCCGAAGCCTGTGATTTATTTGAATTCAACTTCGTCAGATACAGAATATTTTTGAAACTCATTTTCTCTATCAGGCAAAATACATAAATAGTAAAATATTAATTATGAAATTTGTTCGTTTTTTCTTAAATATTTTAAATATGTAATAAAAAATATATTGTAACAAAACGTCAGCATAAACGGGAAAATGTTTTTTATTTCAATTCATTTTATCAATTCAAATATGTATTTTTTTATATGTTCGTCAAAAGAAATTTGAATGAAAATCATTCGTTGAATGTCCTGCAGGTATATTTTTAAAGGAAGGAATATTTTATTAGTATAATTAGAAAAACACATCGGGAGTCTTGATAGTAGAAAAAATATATATATATTTTCTATTATGAAAATACAACTGCTTATAATATAAATCGCCAAAATCATCATTTTTTATATTATACTGAAAAAGAGAAAGATTACAACTACCTTATTTTCTTCTTAATATCTTATAAAAATAAACATTCAATCTCTTTTTAAATCTTTAACACTTGAAACACAAAATAAAGTTTTAAATTCTTTGTGCTTTTCACGTTTACAACGTAATATGTTTAAATATTTCAAAACATATATAATTTCAGAAAAAAAACTTTTTTTTTAACAAACGTACATAAATTTAGTTTAAATTAAATTGTTCACTTTTTAATAAGCTTATAGTAATATTTTGAAATAAAAAATTTCAATTTTCCTTTTTTTTAAAAGCATCAGTTTGCAAAAATTTTACTTATAATTTAATGCAAATATTCGTTCAATAATAAAAAAACGACTTATTTATGAAAGATCTGAATAACGAGTGAATAGAATTATACAGTTAATGTCTTAATTTTTATAGCTAAGAGTAAATCAATTAATAAGTCTTTGCCAAGATCTTTAAAAGATTCAGTTTTCTTCACTTCTTCCAAATTCATGTCGACATATTCAATGCATTTATTTTTCAAAAGTGTCGAATTACAGCGGTCAGCAATTGTTAAAATGGAAATAACGTTGTCTATAGCTAAACATTCTCCTAGGCATTGTTCACAAACTTTTTTCAATTTAGTTATGTGATATTTATTAGCCAACTCATAAAGACCAAAGGCCATGGTATTTAAATTATTAATTTTTCCAGTATAAATATAATTTAACATTTCTTCGAAAACTTCAGGATCAGTTTCTTCTATTAGAACATTGTTCGTAATATTCTCTTTCATCTGATGAGTAAACATTTTTTCAAAAACTGGACTCGTAGAAGCCAATATTACTTTATGAGCAGGAAATTGCTTCTCATTAATTTTAAATACAACATCACTTAAAACATCGCTCATTAAAAATGGCTGAAAGTCATTTAGAGTGGTTGAAGGAGAAACGATGTCGATGGACTTCTGTTCATTTTTCGGTTGTTTAATTGCAAGATTAACGTTTACATAAGAGTTATTGCCAAGTGATGACATTAATTTTGTTTCAGGAATTAACATTGTGAAATTTATAATGTTTCTTGTCATAGTAAATACTTTGGGATAAGAATATCCAAACTTTATATCAATTTCTACGGGATTCTCACAATAATATTCAATGTTAGTCTCATTGAGTAGTCGAAATCGAATATATTCTTCGTTTTTAGCATATAATGCATTGACGTAAACTTTGCTTTGTTGCATTTCCAGAAACCATTTTACATTGGAAATGCCCTCTATTTCAAATGGTGTTGATGTATAATTAGAATTTTTATTGTAAGAATTTAATTCCCAGTCAAAATTTATTTTCACATCTTTTGATTTTGATATATCTTGTCCGTTTTGATCCATTTTCTAAAAAGTAAATTTTTTTTTAAAGACCTAAATAATAATAATAATAGCAATTATCAGAAATTAATATAATTTTTAAAAAATTATTCAGAGTGTCTAACAATTTCAGACCGAATTCATTTCAAATCAGACAGGCTTGACTTGGTCGGAGCTGAAAATAATTTTCACCTTCAAAATGTTGTTCTTCAATGAATTTTAGACGACACGTATTTTTTTATTTTGCTGAAAAAAATTTTTTCTTTAAGTTATAAGGAGTTCAAATATATAAGTCGAGAACTTCGTTTTTTTTTAAAATGAAGAGAAAAAATCTTAAAAGTGATGTAACTTTTTGAGTAATTAAGATAATTCACTTTTTCCTTTTGTGTCTGAAAGGACTTTTATTTTTCTTTCGAAATCCATTGGAAAATTTAAAAAATATTTAAAAATAACAAAATGGTGGCCATTTTACTAAAAAACTTTAATTTGAAATTACTCAAAAACCCCACCTTTTTTTTTGCTCAAAATTTTTTTGGGAATTGTGTTCATAGGGAGGAATATTGCCCACAAGAATTTAACTTGTGCCCGATTCTGGTACAAGAGAAAAAAATTTTTTTATATTTTTTAAAAGAAAAACATCATTTTTCTCAAAAAATACACTAGATATAAAAAAATGTCTCAGATAAAAGTTGTTCCTCGTTAAAAGACCTAAAAAAATGTCTGTTGTCATTTTTGTCCATCTTGTGTTTGTTCAACAATATTTGCAAAACATGGATTAAAAGCTCACATTTATTGCTTTTTAAGGCCAGGCTCCTCCAAAAACCGTGTTTTTTTCAAACAAATTTTATTTATATTACAAAAAATATTTATAAATCAAAGTTTTTATAAATTAAAAGACTTATAAAAGTACTACTTGAAAAAATTTTTTTTTCTTATTTTTTCAAAATGGCGGCTCCTAAAATCGCTGCCGAAACGCGTCCTTCGTGTTGGTGGGTGACAGGATAACTCAAAAACGAATCATCTGAAAGCAAAAATCAAAACGGTTTCTTAATCTGTATCACATTGGCTATGGTGTGAACTACAACCAAAAATATTCATTGTTATTTACAAAAGTTATAAACAATTAAAAGTGAAAAAAAAGGGTAAAAAACTTAAAAAGTCTGCCATTTTGTTTTTTTTTGGTGAAAATATTTTATTGTAGTTCACACCATAGCCAATGTGATACAGATTAAGAAACCGTTTTGATTTTTGCTTTCAGATGATTCGTTTTTGAGTTATCCTGTCACCCACCAACACGAAGGACGCGTTTCGGCAGCGATTTTAGGAGCCGCCATTTTGAAAAAATAAGAAAAAAAATTTTTTTCAAGTAGTACTTTTATAAGTCTTTTAATTTATAAAAACTTTGATTTATAAATATTTTTTGTAATATAAATAAAATTTGTTTGAAAAAAACACAGTTTTTGGAGGAGCCTGGCCTTAAATATCATTTAAAATAGTTTCATAAATCTGTTTGAAATAGTTCGTTTTTTGTCTTTTTCCATAACAACAATCAAATAATAATTAATAATCTTTACTGTCACAGAGGTTAAAATTGTTAATTTTTTTGTGTTCAGTAAAATAATAGCGAGTATTAATATTAAGAAATTAAAGAATCAGTTATTATTTTTTAAAAAGCAAAATAAGGTATGTTTATATAATTTTTGTATTGTAATGTCACTATTATTATTTTTAAATATGAAAAGGTCTTTTAGGTCTTTTAACGAGGAACAACTTTTATCTGAGACATATCTATTGTATTTTTTGAGAAAAATGATGTTTTTCTTTTAAAAAATATAAAAAAAATTTTTTCTCTTGTGCAAGAATCGGGCACAAGTTAAATTCTTGTGGGCAATATTCCTCCCTATGAATTAATTTCAAATTAAAGTTTTTTAGTAAAATGGCCGCCATTTTGTTATTTTTAAATATTTTTTTAATTTTCCAATGGATTTCGAAAGAAAAATAAAAGTCCTTTCAGATACAAAAGGAAAAAGTGAATTATCTTAATTACTCAAAAAGTTACATCACTTTTAAGATTTTTTCTCTTCATTTTAAAAAAAACGAAGTTCTCGACTTATATATTTGAACTCCTTATAACTTAAAGAAAAAATTTTTTTCAGCAAAATAAAAAAATACGTGTCGTCTAAAATTCATTGAAGAACAACATTTTGAAGGTGAAAATTATTTTCAGCTCCGACCAAGTCAAGCCTGTCTGATTTGAAATGAATTCGGTCTTCAGGAAAAAAAATTTCGACTTTTTCATGACTTTTCTTGACTCATATTAAATACTATATAATTTCGAAATGTGTTAATGAAAATTGTTTTAAAATTTTTATGTATATAAAAAATAATGTTTTTATTTAAACAAATTTTTTTTTTAACATTAGACATGATTAAATTTTTTTTTTTATTTTTATATAAGTACCTGGAAACACTATTAGAATATTTTGTGAAAAGTTTTAGTTTAGAGTGGGCTTAATGATCAATTTTGTTTAAAAAGAAAACTTTTCGTTTTTTCTTATTTTGCAAAATAAAATACATCATTTTTATATGCTTTTTATGAGTAATGTGAAAAATCTTAGTAGCTAAAAAACTTTTTATTTTAAAATGAAAAAGAGAAAAAAACTTTTTTTTCAAACAAATAATTTAAAAAACGGATCATCAGACCCACTTTAAAACTTTTTTTTTTTAACATAAATATTAAAATGTTTTTTTCGTTAATACATTTTTAAAGTAAATGAAAAACAGAAAATTTTTTTTCTTTTTGTTAAATTTCCTAAATTCAATATTTTTAGAGTTAGATGTCGTTGAAGTAAGATTATAAACTTTTAAGAAATCTTGAAAAACACAGATTTTTAAAAATTCATAACTCAAAAATTTGGGCAAAGAACGAAAAAAATATACAACATCAGAATTTCAAATGTCATTGATAAATTTCACATGGAATCCACGAAATATATAAAAAAAATTAAGTTAAATGATTAGGGTCAGTTGGGGTAAATGAGGACAAAATCGTTATTTTTCACAAATTACTTAAGTTTCTTCCTTTAAATGGTAATATTTGATGGTTTATTTTTTTTAAGTTGTTATTTACGTTCCCAGGATTAATTTTATGCAGCAGAAACAAATTTAGATAAGCTTTAAACGCATGAAACTGACTGTTTTTAATACAAAATTTAATTTAATTTAATTTCTAATAACTCCTTTCCAGAAAAACGAAAAAAATCCAGCTTATGTATTGCTCCACGACAAAATGAACCTTAAAAGCCAAAAAATTTTACGTTATGTTTGTGATTGAAAATACACGAATTGAATTAACTCTTAATATAAATCACTAATGCTTATGTATTTATTCGAATAAAAATATTCAATAAAAACAGATTTTAATTTTACATATAATTAAAAATAAACTTTTAATCAAGCTCAAATTATCACTATAATAACCTAAAATTTTTTTCTTTTACGATCCATTTTCTCGTAAAGCGTCACATATTTGTTGTAATATTTAAATTATTATTATATCTAAATAACGCATAAGTTTTTTAGTTTAATTTGTATTCCGTTTTTAAACCAGATTTTTAAAATTCAATAAGTATATAGCTCATCGTATCATATGTGCAAAAGAAGTTGTAATTTAAATATTAAGAAACGGAATTTTTTCTTTTTTTTATGGAAAGCAGTTATTAGAAAAGTATATATAATGGGACTGCTTACATAGAATATAATATATTTATATAAATTAAAAAAATATATGTATATGCATATGTATTTTGTATTATCATAATAACTTTAAAATTCAGGTAATGTTGAGAACACGTGTCTCATAAGTTAAATCATTCTGATTATAATTTAATGTATTTTATTGCATTATATTTTACCTGTTTCAATTGCAAATGCTATCTATTATTCTATTCCTCTCTGAATTGAATGATGTATGCAATTTTAACAAAAAAAGATGACAAAATTAATCTTATATGTGCGTATAACTGAAAACAACTGTCTGTTGGTTTGGATTTTTTTAAAACTTGGTTACAGTTATATACGTTATCGTTATTCCCAGAAAGATGCCAAATATAGGCAAAGATGGCAACCACCGACACGAAATGCAACTACGCTTGCGCTGTTATAACTCTCTCATTGGTAGAAAATGGCGCACTTATTTTAAAATACTTTAATATGAGAAAAATTGTTTAAATAACAATATAATGAATTTATTGGTTTTAATGTTTTATAATTAAAATTAATTTTTAACTTAAAATATCTTTTCTTTCTATAAAAATCAATTTTTAAATTGGATGTAAATCAATGGACTAATTATAATTATCATGGGAATTTGTTCAAATTTAAATTTATAAATAATAATAGTAATAATAAATAAATCTGATTTGTTAGGAATATTAAAATTATTTACACTTAACAATAATCCTGAAATAATTATTGATAAAAATTAATTTTGATTAAAAAACATTATAACTAAAGATAAAAACAATCAATTTAATACTTAAAATTCTTTTATTGTTTTTTAAAAACATTTTCTGTTCCCAAAACGTAATCAGAATATCTCAAATCTATAGACATATCCATTCCCGCACATTAAATTAAAGTTTTAGTGTTTTCTTTTTAACTATTTCAAAGAGTCAATAGTAACGGCTGGAAAAGTATCTAATTAAAAACAAGTTTTAATTAATTAATTTTTTTATTTGTGTTTATTTTTCATCATACTAAGAAAATAATTCTTATAAATCACTATTCATTATTATTTCTAGTTAAATTTTTTTCGAAATAGTATAAGTAATAAAATGTAAATGAAACTATAATAATTTTTTATTTATTTTATTTTATTTATTATAATAATAAAAAAATATATTTTAAGATCTTAAAATACAACTGGTAAAAAAATTTTTTTCATTGCAATATTCAGACTTAAAAATAACATACATTTTTTTTCTACTTAAACAAGATAAACATTCATCTTTTTCTAGTGTTTTAACACTTACTAAACAAATTAAAATTTTTGGGTTTAATTTTAAAGTTTTTAAATGAAATTACATAATAAGTATTTTATATTAAATTTCAATATGTTTTTTGCAATTTTAAACGTTCACAACATAACATAAATCTAAACATTTTAAAACAGAAAATTCCAGTATTTTTCTTCTTAAAAAAAAAACATACATCAATTCAGTTAAATTTAATTTTTATACTATTAAAGTTTAAACAGCAACATTTTAAAATAAAGTCATATAAGATATCTTCTGAATTAAATGTCGAGAGAATAAATTTAAATTTCATCTTTTATAAAGCTAATAATATCTATTAACAATTCTCTTTTGAGATTTTTATAGGATTCAGTATTCCTGACTTCGTCAAATTTTTCGTTGATATATTTAATGCATTCATTCTTTAAATTCACGGAATTATGACGATCGGCAAATTCCAAAATAAATGTTACATTGTCCACATCTAAACAGTTTTCGAGAGATTCTTCACAAATTATTTGCAATTTTGTTATTTCATATTTATTGGCCAACTCATAAAGATCAAAGGCCATGCTGTTTAAATTCTCAACTTTGCCCATGTAAATGTAGTTTAACATTTCCTTAAAAACATCCGGATCAGTGTCTTCAATTTGAACATTATTTGTAATATTCTCCTTCATCTGATGCGTAAACATTTTTTCAAAAACTGGACTCGCAGCAGCAAGAATTATTTTATGAGCTGGAAATTCCTTATTTTCAATTTGAAATGAAACATCACTTAAAACATCGCTTATTAAAAATGGATGGAAATTGTGTTCAATTTTTGATATAGTTATCATATCTTTCAATTTTTGTTCACTTTTAAATTTTTCAATTCTAATATTTACGTATAGAGTGTCATCATGACGTAAATTTAGTAATTTTTCTTTCCAAATAATATCGCTAAACTCTTTAATAGAATTTGTTATCATGCTACATATTTTTTCGCATCCAAACACAATATCTATTTGTACTGGACTAGAAAAATAAAATTCATCTTTATCCTCGTTGTAAAGTCGAAATTTGACATACTTTCTTTCTTGATCGCTTTCAAAAAATTCAAAAATCCATTTTAAATTAGTAGTGTGTTTTATGTTAAACGATTCAGATTTATATATTTTATTAATATCGTGTTGGTGAATTCTCCATTTAAAATTTGCCATTTCTATTGAATTAGATGTATCTTGTTCACTTTGATGAGTTTTCTAAAAATTTAAATTTACAATAAGTTAATAATAATAAACAAAATCTTAATTTTGTCAATTATTTTGTAAAATTTTATATAGGTTGTATATACAATATAGGATTTATTTTTTGAATTTAAAAGATGAGTGTCACGGAAAAAAGTTTAGTTTTAATTTTTTCATTCAGGATTGTTCAAAATAGTCCAATTTACATGTATAATGATTATTTTTTAAAAAATATTAAAATAGTAGGCGAAAATCGATTTTTCAAATTATTTTTAAAATTACCTGTGTCAATAATTTTTTTCCATGAAAAAAAGAAAAAATTAATGCAACTTGATACTTTTTGTTTTATTAAATTTAAAAAATCTGTTTCGAAAAACAAAATTAAAATATAAAATTCAAGTAGTTTTATAAGTATAAAGTTAGCATTTTAGTTCTTAATTTAATTTTTTTAAATAGATTTTTTAAATTCAATAAACATAAATTTAATATCCTGATCAACAACTTTTACATCTTAATAAATTTAATAGGTTGGATGAAAAGGAAAATTTTTTTTTTTCATTTTTCTAGAAAAGAGTTATTATTATTTTTCAAAATCAGGAAAAATTCTCAAAACCTCAATATTAAAGGTAAAATTTTCAATATTTCTGTAATATAAAATTAAATGGTTAGTACCTAAATAATAAGAAAGTATATAATAAAAGTACTTATCATATAAAGCAGTATTTAATAAATAACTATTTACTTACTTTCTAGAAATGAATAATTAAAATTGTGTTAAATTAAGACGAATAAAAAAATACGTAAACCTTTTTTTTCTACAATGAATAAGAAAAAATATATTTAGACGAATTTAAAAGGTCATAGGTAAATCTCACGTGGAATTGCCCATATGTAAATTATATTATTTTGAACAATTATTTCATAATATAATTGCCAAAATTGAATTGTATGGATGTCAAAAATCCTTATTACGAATTAAAAGATTTTTCTATAGAAAATTTTTAGATAGATTTTTCTATATTTAATAAATGATTAATTTAATAATTATATTTTAGATCTTACCTATTAAAACTGCGAATGTTTTCTATTTTCTTTTAAATTCGGAAAATGTTTGATCGCACTTGCGATAATTAATGTATTTCAATTGTTTTAAAGAATGTTTTTTGATACCATAACCTAAAAGCTGTCAAATTTAAATATTCCCAATAATCTTTTTTTGCATTTAATATCAATTATTTCTGTTTTTCTTATAATTGAAAAAAAATTATAGAAGTAATAATAATTAATTTTAACAAAAATAATACTAATTTTGTATTGTACCATACAAAAAATACAAAAATTGTTAAGTAGTTTTTAACAGTTTTTGTGATAATGATCAATGGGGATCAGGCATGCGCAAAACTGATTTGATTTTTAAAAATTAAATCAATTGATAAAAAATCTAAAAAAACGATTAGTATATTTATAGCAATTCATAATTATTAAAAAACTTGAAATATAAAACAAAAATTATTTAGTTTAAAATATTTTATTTATTAAAATTTGAATTAATGTATGAAATAAATTGATGCTTGAAAATGATCGATATATTGTCCATCTACATAACTGAATGAGTGATTTTAATTTCCTATCCGAAGAAATATTTTTCTCTTATTAAAAAGGATTTTCTTAGGATTCTAGTTAAAGAAAAACATACAGAACCATTATATTTAAAGATAGAAAAAATATATTTTACGATCTATAAATACAACTTAATTATTATTCGCATAAGCATCTTTTTTTTTACATTTTTTTACAATTCAATATGTAAAGGAAAACAGAAAAATATTTAATATCGCAATATAAATTTTTTACATTTTTTGTGTAACGATGAAATAAATTTTTCAACTTTTTCTTCTATTTCTGACACTTATAATATAAAGTCAAAACAGTTTTGAATTTTTTTTTTTAAATAGTTAATTAAATTTTTTAATTTCACATTTTTAAGTCCTATTTTACATTTTTAAAATTTTTCGAATTAAAAATGTATAGTTTCTTTTTTTTTTAAATAAAATTCTTATTTTAGAATTATATTTTTGTCCCCAAACTATATCAGTTTTGAAAGAAAAAAATTTTTCACACATTTTTAATTTAAAATTTAAAATTTAAATTATCGTTTTTTAAAAACATTTGTGATAAATTAAATTCATGGAATAGTTGAAAAATCATTAAAGAGCGCATTTTTTTACTCAACAAAAATAAATCCACTCATACTTTCAAAAATGTTCATTAATTTTCTAATGACTTAAAAATTATTTTCAATTCATTTATGAAAAATCGTTTTCCATATTTAAATCAAAATGATATTTTTTTTCAGCTCCAAGTATTCGTTTATTTTTAAGGAAAAAAAAAAAGTCTCTCTTTCTCTTTTGACTGTCGAAGAAATTAAATTATTTCTCAATTTTTTAATTGTTTCTCTCTGCTTTAATATTATTATTCAGAGTTTTTGTAGTAAATATAAAATCCAACAATAAATCTTTATGCATATTTCTAAATGCATCAGTATTGCCAACTTTATCGAAATTCCTATCGATAAATACAATGCATTCATTCTTTAAATCCTGAGAATTATGTCGATCAGCATGTTCCAAAATTCCAATAACATTGTCAATAGATAAACATCTTTCGAAAAATTCTTCACAAATTAAACGCAATTTTGTTATATCATATTTGTCGGCCAATTCATAAAGTCCAAAGACAACGTTTTTTAAATTTTCTATCTCACCGGTATAAATGTAACGTAACATTTCCTTAAATGCATTTGGATCGGCATTTTCAATTTGTACAATATTTGTAATATTTTCCCTCATTTGATGTGCAAACATACTATCAAACACTGGACTCACTGAGGCGAGCATTAATTTATGCGCTGGAATTACTTCATTTTCAATTTGAAATACAACATCACTTAAATTATTATTGTTTAGAAATGGTAAAAAATTATTACCAACTGTTGAAAATTTTTCAACATCTCTCAATGGTTTAATTTTTAAATTCACATGTAAACAACGTGCATTTGTAATAAATTGTGTTAATTCATCTTCTTCAATGAGAATTTCATAATGTGCAATGGAATTTGTTATTTTGCTAAATACTTTTTTCTTTGGTACAATGCCAAATATAATTTTTATTTTCACTTGATTATCAAAATTATGTTTATAATTTGATTCATTGTAGAGAAGAAATCGAATGTATTTTCTTTCAGAATTTTTTGATGAAAAAAATGAATCATAATTTGTTTTAAAAAATTGAATATACCATTTTTTATTTGGAATTCCCTCTATTTCAAATGGACTTGACGTATGATCATAACTATGTATATCATCGTAATTACAATTTTTAATAATCCAATTGATATCAGTGACTCCTTGTGATTTTTGTATGTCTTTTGCATCTTTTTCTGTTTTCTGAAAATTAAAATAAACATAAAAAATATAGACAAATTTATAATAATAATAATAATAATTTTAAATACCACGGTGGGCTTGGATTAAGTTCAACCCAAAAGTCTTTGCACATCACCGTTTTCTTTTGGAATTACTTCGGGGATGTCTTCTGATTATTTTAAGACAAAAATGAAAATAATCGGTGGAGGGAAACTGAAATTATCTTGATATTTCATTTTTTTTATAGGTTATTCTATGTAATTTCTTAAAAAAAAGGTTTCCTTCAATTTTTTTTTCTACAAAAGTTGTATTTCGGATTCAGTAAAGAATCTCTATGATAGTTAATGAATTTAAAAAATTTGAACTATTAAATTTGTTAATAAATATTGTAAAAACATGGTTTTTCATTCGTTTTTTGAAAGTAACTCGTCTTGTAATTACTTTACACCAAAATTTTTAAAAGATAATTTGAAGTACATAAGATTCTCTGTAAAACTGAAAAAAGAAGACTGTTCTATCTTTTACCGTTCCTTAGATATGACACGTTGAAGTTGCCTTTCAATGAGAAATTTAAACTTCGGAGCTTATTATTCGATGAATTTTTTTATTTAATATCCTAATATAACAATTATAATAAAAATTATTCAAGGGAACTCTTTTTCGAATAATTTCAGATAGACAAAATTGATTTATCTCTAATGGTATTATTATTATAGGTATTTCAAAAACACAATTCTCTCAATAACTGGTTATTTTGTATTTATTTTGAAGATTCAATGAAATCATATTACAATTATTAATTGTAAAACATATACATTTTTAAGACATGTGCAAACCATTGTATTCACAAACAATTAATTAATAATTGTAATATGATTTCATTGAATCTTCAAAATAAATACAAAATAACCAGTTATTGAGAGAAATGTGTTTTTGAAATACCTATAATAATAATACCATTAGAGATAAATCAATTTTGTCTATCTGAAATTATTCGAAAAAGAGTTCCCTTGAATAATTTTTATTATAATTGTTATATTAGGATATTAAATAAAAGAATTCATCGAATAATGAGCTCCCAAGTTTAAATTTTTCATTGAATAGCAACTTCAACGTGTCATATCTAAGGAACGGTAATAGGTAGAACAGTCTTCTTTTTTCAGTTTTACAGATAATCTTATGTACTTCAAATTATCTTTGAAAAATTTTGGTGTAAATTAATTACAAGACGAGTTAATTTCAAAAAACGAATGAAAAACCATGTTCTTCCATTATTTATTAACAAATTTAATAGTTCAAATTTTTTAAATTCATTAACTATCATAGAGATTCTTTACTGAATCCGAAATACAACTTTTGTAGAAAAAAAAATTGAAGGAAACCATTTTTTAAAGAAATTACATAGAATAACCTATAAAAAAAAATGAAAAATCAAGATAATTTCAGTTTCCCTCCACCGATTATTTTCATTTTTGTCTTAAAATAATCAGAAGACATCCCCGAAGTAATTCCAAAAGAAAACGGTGATGTGCAAAGACTTTTGGGTTGAACTTAATCCAAGCCCACCGTGATACTTTTGTTAAAAAAATTTCGATTTTAAATAAAACGCACTAAATTTAAATATTGAATCTGAATATTTTTTTTTAAATTTTATATTTTCGATAACGAAATTAGGCAAAATTGAAAAATAAGTGAACAAGTGCAATCCGTTAATTAGTAAAAAAAAATAATCATATAAACACTTTTTTAAAGAAATATTAATTAATAAAGATGTCGAAAACTTAAGTGACGCGAACAATGACATTATTTTACTTTCTTAAATTGATAAATTTAACGCATATATATATATATATATATATATATATATATATATATTTAACTATCCCTTACCTGCTTTAATCTTACGATCTTTTTTACTCTTGACGCCATTTATAATGATTATTCAAATAAATTTTCAATAAAAAAAAAGAACTGCGAAAATAATCCACATTTGACAGTTGCTGCTTGTTTGGACGAGCTGCGAGTAATACTTAACCTCAAAAATTGTTGATGAAACAGTTCTTATTGTTGCTGCTAGATGGCAAATTGGCGCGTAATTTCAAAATGTATTAATAAATTTTTTGATTTTAAAACAATTTTATTAGATAATTAAAATAAATTTAGATAAATTAGATAATTTTTTAAATAAAAATAAAAAAAATTTGTTATTAATTTTAATTTTTTCGAATTATTTTTTAGTATAATTTTTGTTTTACCGATTTCCTAACATATTATCTGAATTTTTATTCCATTGAATATGAATTTAATTGATTGCTTATTTATTATTAGAATTAAAAAATATTAAAAGAAAAAAATAAGTAAATTTAAATATTAAAAATATTTTCATTTTATTTAATTTTATCGAATTTTTAAACGAACAAAATATTTAAAAAAAAAAAACCTTTTGTGCACTACAAAAAAGGATTCAATGATTTATTTTCGAATAATTTACTGAATTTTTTGAAATTTATAGATTATAATTTTATTTTCAAAATTTTTTCACTTCAAATTTTTTGAAAAAATTTTCAACAAAAAACTACTTACCAAATTTATTTTATTTAAAAAATAAGGAAACGATTTTAAAAATTTTTTTTCAGAATTTCTTTGAATTTTTCGAAATATGGATAAAATTTTTTTTGATTACGAAAATTATAGTGAAAATACCTGCTTTAATTTTCATGGTGAAAACCATAAAAAGAAACTAAAATTGATAGATTTTCTTAAAAAATAAATAATTTTAAAAAATAAAATTTTAATCTATAAATTGCAAAAATCTAGTGAATTTTTTTTTTGGTAATTTTTTGCATAAAATTTTTCAAAAATGTACTTAAAACCATACAATTAAAAAAAAAACTTTTAAAATTGATGGATTAAAATTTTTTTTCAATTAAACAAAAATGTATAAAAATCTGTAATTTTCGAAAAATTTACATCTCTTAAACGGCTAGATAAAAAAAAAAAATTATGAAACTTTTTTTTGTAGATTACAAAAGTTAAAAAAAAATGATAGCCAAATAATATAATCATTTGTATAGAATAAATTTCTTTTTTTTTTATAAATTAATATTTTTTTAATATTTAAACTTTAAATGAGTTTTTTTTAAATGTTATTGTATTAGTCTAACTGAAGAAAAACAATAGTATTTAAACAATCGTATAAAAATATATTTCACGATCCTAGAAATACAAGTTATTATTAACAATCGCTAAATCATCTTTTTAACAGTTTTCGTTTACACTTAATTGTAAAGAAAAATATAGTTTTAGATTTTACTAAGGCAATATTTAAATATTTTACGTTTTCATATAACAATATGAATGTACATAAATCTTTTAATTTTTTCTTATATTGTCGACACAGACAATACTTTAAGTTAAAAGAAAATTTTTTTTTTTTTTTTTTTTTTAATAAATAATTAAAAATTAATATTTAATGAAAAATGATTCTTAATTTTTAAATGTAGAAATTAAATCTTTTAGATATTTCTTGAATAAATAATTAAAACATAATCAATATAAAAATAGCAATTTAAAAAGCAATATCTTTTTAAGATAAACTATAAATAAACAAAATTAATTGAATACAGTTTTCAAAATTCATGTTTTTTTAATCCTTGTCTCACAGAGTATGTCCATTAATAATTCTCTATTAAGTGTTTGAAAAGATTCCGTTTTTTTGATTTCTTCAAAATTTTCATCAATATATTTGATACATTCAATTTTAAATTTTTCAGCTCGTTGATAATTGGCCAATTCCAAAATATAAATGACATTATTAATTGATAATGAATTTTGAAGATATTGTTCACATATTAATATCAAATCTGATAGATTATATTTGTACGCCAATTTGCAAAGATCAAATGCAATGTTTTCCAAATTTTCCACACGGCCAGTGTAAATAAATCGTAACATCTCTTTAAAAACATTCGGATCAATTTCATTTAATTCGATAATTGTCGTTATATCTTTACTATTTGTCTCAATGAACATTTCCTTGAAAATAGAACTAACAGAAACTAGTATAATCTTATGGGCTGGAAATTCATATTCATTAATTTTAAATGTTACATCACTTAATAATGTATTGATGAAAAAAGACTCGAAATTTTTCTCAATAATTATTGACGAAGAATTATTATTGACAATAGATTTATTCATATTATTTTTCAATGGTACAATTGTTAAATTCATGCGAAAACAATTTGATGGTGATATGAGTTTTATTAATTCTTGTTCTTTCATTGAATCATAAAATTTATAAGTTGCACCCAATTTTATGCGTGTCAATTTTATAATTCTTGTGAATATTTTCTTTTCATTATTTGATCCAAGTGATAATTTTAATTTCATTGGTGTGAAAAAATTATTTCCCAATGAAATATTTTGAAGATTAATGTTAATAAAATTTTCTCGTAATAATGAAGAGGTGATTTCATTTTTTTCTAAAAATAAATACCATTTCATTTTAGAATTTCCCTCAATGTGAAATGTTTGTGATCGCATGTAAATTTGTTTTTTACTTTTGTATTTTTTTATTATCCAATTGAAGTTCGTAATTTTTGGCAATTTTTTATTATTGTACTGATTACTATTTTTATTTTCTATATTTTCTGTATTATTATTGTCAGATGAATTATTCTCTTCCATATTTGATGTTTTATTGGGTTCTAAATTTTCTGAAACAATAAAAGTAAAATTTTTTTATTTTGTAATATTTTTTTTTCTAATTTTCTCAACTATCTATTATTGTTTGATCGAAATTCTCGATTTTTTTAATTTTCCTCTACCTTTCCTGTTTTTTTTTTTTTTGTTTGCAAAAATTTAGAGATTTTATAGAAATAAAAAATGATGAAACTTTAAATAACAAAAAACAATTAAGACTTTAAAAATATGTTTCAGTATTACATAAGTGGCAATAATTATATTTTTAATATTTCCAGGCCTTGGATCGACTTTAATGCACAAAAATAGTCGTTTTAGTTGATTTTTATTACAAAAAAAAAAAAAAAATGGAAAAAGTCTGTTTTTTTAACAAAATTTAATTGATTAACGAATATTTTACTTAAAATGACTAATGTTATTAGACATTAAATTCGTTTTATTTATTCTGTATTGAGAATAATTTTATAAAAATATTATCAAGAAAATTTATTTTCAATATTTCAGAATCGAATTAATTGTAAGACAAATTCTTAAAATTTTTATTTAAGCAGGACAAATTTCTAAAAAAATTGTTAAAGTTCCATTTTTATAATTTTTTTAGAATCAAATTTTACAGATTTTTAAATAAAAATAATTTTTGAAGAGTTAAAGTTAAAATTTTTGAATTAATTGTATTTCAAAAGATTTTGTTAATTTTCAGACAATAATTAAATTTTACAGAACTAAAAATAATTTATCAAATAATTTTAGATAAAATTTTTTTAAAAGTAAATTGAATTTTCAAAGATTTACAATTTAGATTTTTGAAATTAATTGAACATTAAGTGATTTTTAATTAAAAATTTTTGATGATTTCACTAAAAAATTTATTAGAAATTGCAGACAAAAATACAAAAACTTTTTAAGTGAAAAATTGTTTCAGATAATTGAATTTTGCGAAGAATATTATAAAAATCATTAAAAATAATTGAATTTCAGGAGAATTATAATTAAAATTATTAAATTTCAAAAAAAATTAGATGGAAAGTTTTTGAAATAATTAAATTTTAGAAGCTATTAAATTGAAATTTTTGAAAATAATTAAATTTCAAAAGATTGTATTAAATTTCAAACAATAATATTGTAATAAGAAATTTTTTTTAATGATTTCTATTGAAGAAAAATTTATTAGAAATTAAAAATTAAAAATTAAAAAAAAAATTAAAAGTTTTTAATTGAAAAATGCTTTTAGGTATAATTTAATTTTCGAAGAATATTATAAAAATCATTAAAAATAATTGAAATTTTTGCAAATAATTAAATTTCAAGCGATTTTTTGAATTAAAATTTTTTGGTAATTTTATTTGCTAATTTTTTTAAAATTATAAACAATTTTTAAATTTCATATAAATTTTAATTGAAAAATAGTTTAAGATAATTGAATTTGTGAAGAATTTCATTAAAATTAAAATTAAAGAATTAAATAAAGAAGATCTGCATTATATTCTAAAAAAAGGAATTTTGTTTAAATTTATTTTAAAAAAATGTAAAAAAAGTCTAAAAAGTCGCATTTTATTAAAATAATTCGAAAAAAGTCGGACAAAGTCGTATAATCCGAGGCCTGTATTTAAATTTTTAATGAAAAATAATTTTTTTTTTCATTAAATCGATCAACATATAATTTCAATATAAAATATATATATTTTTTTTAATAATTTCATTGTTTATCTTACACAAAAAAAAACGAGAAAAATTGTCTCTTTTAATGTGTTCTATTCTCATTTACCTGTTTATTAGTTTGGTCCTTTTTTTTCCTACTCTCGGAAAATATTGCGTTAAATATCAAAATTGTGAGTTTTTAAACAAACAATAATAAATAATATTACAAAGCGCGTGTTTTGATATTTTCATCAGACATAACCCAAAAAATTCTAAGGATCACGCACGCGCATATTCATTAATTATAGTTTTTAAATTTTCATCTTCTGATTTTTGTTAATAGTTTTATTTATTCTTAAAATTTAAAGTAATGATATATCATAATTACTTTAAATTTTATATTGTATCTTGGAAATATCCTTCTTTTTATATTAGTGTAATAATAAATTATTGATTGAAAAACGATTATAGAGAAGACGACAAAAAATTAGTGCCACCTAGTGAAAAATATATCAAGGATTTTAAATTTGAATTAATTATTAAAAGGTGTGCTTTTTTATTATTTTGTAAAAAGAATAGAGTAATTAAAACAAATTTCAACTTATCCAGTGTGAAGTAAATGAAAAGAACTGTTTTACAAATAATTGTTGAAAATTACAAAATTAAATTATTTCACAGACGAAATTTTAAAACATATTTTATCGATGATTCTAAATTTTTTTTATTACTTTAATAATTAGATAAAAACAAATTAATTTTGATTCTAAACAAGAAAGAATAATTCTTTTTAGACTTTTGAGAATTATTCTTTATTATTTTAATAGTATTTTCGAATTGCTAAAAAAAGTGAATCTTCTGTACCTCCTTTACTTATTTAAACAAAATGTTTTAAGCGAAATAATAAAAATTTTAACATAATTCTTTTTATTTCGTTCTGACATACAGATTACTGTAATTATTAATTAATTATTATTAGATTAATTAAATTAATAATTAATTCTGATATACAGAATCATTTTTCAAAATAAGTATTAATTTTTTTAAATTACGCCTTATCAACTTTAATCGAAATATAATAATTCTAATTTTTCTTTTTAAATTGATTTTAATTATGACTAATTAATTAAAAAATTATCTATTTTATCTTTTATTTTATAAAGCAGATACTTTTCAATATAAAAAAAATACCTAAATCTAGAATCAGTAAATAAATTCTATTTCAATTATTCCAACTAAACAATTAGTTTTTCAAAACAATTGAAATCTAATTATTAATTTTTTTACAACGATAAATATAAAAATATAATGTTTTTAGAAAAAAATGTAATTTCTAAAATATAGATTTCCAAAAAATAGATTTTTATTATTTTCTGATTGAAAAAAAAACCCAGTAATTATTATGAAACAGTAAAGAAAAATATATTTTAATTTCAAAAAATACAAGTAATTATATTTTGTGTTTAAATATTTTTCTTTTTTTACAGTTCAATATGTAAAAAAAAAGAATGTGACGAACAATACAAAACTTAAATATACTGTTCATAAAAAAAAGGAAAGAAAACTTTTCTCGTATTATTATTTTAAACTCAGACGATAAAAATAAAAATTTTCGGAAAAATTTTAGAGTAAATTTACATAATTTGAAAAAAAAAAAATTTCCTTAAACTTAATTTACTTTTTCAAATTTAACACCTAAAATAAGATATTAAAATTTTTCCACAAAATTTTCATATTTCGAGAAATTGAAGGATTTTTCAAATTTAAATAATTTGAAAAATCCTTTTACATTTGAAAATATTAATTTTTAAATTTTAAACATTTTATGCATTTAAAATGCAAATAAAATTTTCATAAAATTACTTTTTTAACGATATTTCGTTTAACAATATTGAAATAAAACTGAACGCTGTATCAATACACGAATATTCATCAATTCGCTAATAACATGAAAAAAAGGAAGTATTTTTCTAAAAACAATTTTTTTCTTTTCGTAAAAAAATAAAATCTGATCTTTTTTTTTTTTTTTTTTTTTTTTTTAAAAGAAATAAAATTACGATGCTCGTGAGCATTTAGTATTCATGGCGAAAAGTAATTCTAACAACAATTCATGTTTTAAATTTTTATACGCCTCCATTGATCCAATTTCATTAAAATGTTTTTGAATAAAAATAATACATTTTTTCTTTAAATTCAAAGAATTATGAAAATCGGCAAGTTGTAATATTGATATTACATTATTAACGGTTAAATAATTTTCCAAATATTGTTGACAAATTAATCGTAATTTTGGTATATCATATTTATTGGCCAGCTCATGAAGATCGTAGGCAACATTTTTTGAATTTTCTATTTTACCCATATAAATATAGCGTAACATTTCTTTAAAAACATCACCATCAATTTCTTCAATAACAACAATATTTGTAATATTTTCTTTCATTTGATGTGAAAACATTTTTTCAAATACAGAACTCATTGATGACAATACAATTTTATGAGCTGGAAAATTATGATTATCAATATTAAATGTCACATCACTCAATGCATTATTTAAGAAAAATGATTGAAAATTATTGTCAATTGTTGTATTAGTGGTTTTTTTCATATTTTCCAATTGTTTAATTTGAAGATTTAAATGTAATGAACCATTTGCAGATAGTGATTTTTTTATTTCATTTTCATCAATAAAATATTTAAATTTTGATATTATACATCTATTTTTAAAGTGAATTTTATTCTTCTTAATGACGCCAAGCGTGAGTTTGATTTTAACCATTTTTTCCAAATGCAATTCCAACTGTTGGACATTGAATATTTGAATGTGAACGTAATCACCTGCTTTCATTCGCGATGAACAATAAGAACTGTCTATTTTGTCGATTTGAATGGTACACTTCAACTTTGGAGTAGTACCTTCAATGGAAAATACATTCGAAGTAATTACACCATCAGATGATATAACATTGTCGTAATTTTTGACAATCCAATTGAAATTTGTAACTCCACCGTCGTGCAATTCATTATGAATTTTTTTTACATTTTTTTCATTATCCATATTTTTTACGGTTGTCTCCATTTTTTTTTTACACATATACATATATGCGACAATTTTCTTTTTCTGAAATTTAATAAGTCACATACGATTTTAATAAATTTAACAAATTACGTTTGTAAATAAAATTTTTAATTGAATATTTTTTTGTTAATTTGTAATAAAAACATTTAAATTTGACGCAGCTATTATTAATTTATTAATATTGAATTAATATTAATAATTATATTATTAATTAGTTAATTAATTATATTATTATTATTAATAATAATTTATTATTTTCGCAACGTTTATGATAATCGATTTTTAAAGAAATAATTTTTTAAAATGAAAAATTCTATAATTTTTTGCCTAAAAAATATTTTTTGTAGTTTTTTCATTAATCAACAAATTATAAAAAAAATATAATAATAATAATACATAGGCAAAAAATTATAGAAATTTTCATTTGTAAAAAATTATTAATTTTTTTTATTAAAAACAATAAGTTGTTTTTTCAAAAAATTGAAAATTTATGAGCCAAAAGTTTTGAACGTTCAAATGAAAGAAATTTTTTTTTTAAACTTCTTTAAGTACGAATTTTATTACAAAATATTGTTTTAAATATCTAAAAAGAAGTTATTGATTTAATAATTGTTTAATTTACTGTTTTATTTTACATTGTTATATATTATAATTTTCAATAATTTATAGGTTGGAAAAAATATTTCGTTCATTTGAACGTTCAGAACTTTTGGCCTAATGAAAATTTTAATTATTTTGGGAATTACATGAAAAACGCGATTAAAAAATAATTAAAATTATAAAAGAAATTTATAATTTGTATACTTTATTAAAAATTAAAATAGTTTTTGTCATTTTTCGTGTACGTGGACGTAATTTTAAAAACCTTGAAATATTTATTATGCTGCATAAATAATAGACGCGCAGTTAAAAAATAATAATAAATATTTCGATGAATGGAAATTTTGCCATTTTAATTTAATTGTATACGTACAATTTTATTTTATTATTTACCTGTTTGAATTTTATATTCCTTTTTATTAAATCTCGAATATGAATTTTATTGACAATCCACGTGTTTTTAACTCTGTAAATAATTGACGGAAAACGATATACGATATACAGACGCAAAAAAAAACGATTTCTTCTCACATAATGCTGTGATATTTAATATTTAATATTATGCACATCGTAATATTGACCATTATTTATGGAAAATAATTGCGGGTATGAAGAATTAAATAATTTAATCTAAATTTTGTTTGTGAAGTAGAAAAAATTGAAGTAAATGAACAAAAACAAGATTAATATTGAGTCATTGAGTCACGGTACTATAGACATAGACCAACAAAAAAAAAATTAGCAATGGAGGAGAAATATTTCAATTTGCTGTCGCTAGATGTCAGCGCGCAATCTTTTTTTTATTTTTTAAAGAAATTAATAGAAAAATTCAAGTTTTAAAATAATTATTATGAAAATAATAAAGGACATGATAAATTAGAATTCATAATTATTAAATAAAAAATTGGTACAATGAAAAAAAAGTCGAATTTTGTTTTTGTTAATCTTGGATTGGCATCCCTGTACATTACAAGCATTACAAGAAAATGGCCGTCGTAAAAATAAGTGAAGTGAATTGAAGAGAATCTTTCTAGAAGTTGAATCAACAATAAAAGATAATACATATATACTTAAATCTTTTATTATTTATTATAAATTTTATTTAATAATTAACTTTGTTTTTAACTCAATATATTTATTATATTATAAGTTTTGTTAATTTACGTGAAAAACACGAGCATTTCTACGATTTGGAAAAAGTTTTCGACATAACCTCAAAATCAAAGTGCATGAATAATTTGATCAACATGTTGATTAGGTAAATATAATTTTTATTTTGTTTGTTGACAAATATTAAAATCGAGTTTTGACAAATACAAATATAAAATAATTTTTAATCAAATAAAAAAATTTTAAACAAAATTTTTTGCTTATTGTTTTTTTTTATATATTTCATTTCATTTTTTTACATTTCTCATCATATGAGAAAATAACAAATATATTTTATATTAATTAAATTTAATTAATTTATTTAATTTATTATTTTAATATTTATTAGTTATTATTATTATTTATTTTATTATTTTAATTTATATTTAATTTAAATATTTATTTATTTAATTATTAAATAATTATATGTCACTTTTATATATTTTTGAAGACTTTTTGGTATTACCATAAAGTTTGAACTCTTTTCTACACAATGCAACATATTCTATTAAGATTAAATTGTGATTAAATAAAAAAATTTGAAGTTTTTCAAATTTGATACATTTTTCTTGTTTTGAAGGTTTGTGTTTAACAGTGGGATACCTATTATTAAGAACCGAATAATTATTTCAATAATAATATTCTGCTTCGTACTTTGTAAATATTTTTTTTTTGCATTAAATAACGTTAACAAATGTTGCAAAACACTCATAATTTAATAATATTTTACATTTTTATAATACGATGTCAAGTTTCATATAAAAAATTGCTATTATTTTTTTTCACGTTTACAGTACTGCTGATCATACGTCGTAATATGGTCATAACCTAAAAACAATTTGGAGCAAAATTTGAATAGTCGTTCTCTTATCAAGTGTTACTTTTTAAATGTTGTCGAACAATAATTGTAATAATTATTAATTATAAATTTTGAATTTTTTATTGTTTTTTAGCATAAAAAAATCACATTTTTAGTCGCTGTGTAAGTATAAATATAAATGCGCATGCGTATAGCTGACACAACTTATAATCAGTGTTGCCAAAATCCACGTTTCATAAACTTAAATTTTTGCCTGTCCCAGTGTTGAATGTCCCACTGTTTAAATTAAGCAATTGAAGAAGAAATTAAGCAATCGCAATAAATTATTTAAAAAAAAATTGTTTGTAAAATTTTAAAATATTTTAAATTATTGGATATTATACTTAAAAACGTGAATAAACGAAGTAACAATTACACTTTTTTTAAAAACTGTCCTATCTATATAAAAATCAGCATTGTATTTCAAGAAAAAATTTACTCTGGTTCGTCAAAAACAGTTTTTTTCAATTTTCTTTGTAAATAATGAATCAATGTGGCTAAAATTTTTGGAGATAGTGTGTTGTCATAAACATGGTTTACATTTAAATTTTGCTCGAGTTTCTTTATGTAGTTTTTCAGAAAATTAAAGTGTTAAATGCGTTTAAACAAGAAATAAAATTCAATAACAAAAAATATTCCTTTTTTTCTAATTTTTATGGGTACTTTCACAAATTTGAATCGAGAATTAAATAGTGCATTAATTTCTTAACCGAGCAATGGTTAAGAGAATTAGAATTGAATGTAATGAAAACATCTATCAATTTTTGTCTGAAAAATATTTCTTGCAATTTTTATTGATTGTTTAAAAATAATTTTCTTAAAAAGAATTTTGTTTAATTTTTAAATTTGTAAATTTTGTGCAAAAAATTCCCAAAAAATAATTTACTAGATTTTTACAATTTTTTTTTGTAATTGTTTGTATCTTTTGATTTTTCTTGAAAAATTATAAAAAAATAGTGTTTTCTAAAAAAAATTGTATGCCTATTCGTGTCATATAGGGAAACAATTTTTTAAAATTTTTTCGAAAAAAAAATCAAAGCATTGAATTTTCAGATTCTGATTTTCTTAATAATTAATACATTTTTTTATAACAAAATTTCAATGAATGTAATTTTTTTTAGGTTTTTCTACAGAAGTATAAGAGACAATGGTTCTGCTGAAAATGCTGATATTCTCAGGTCCAACAGAGGAGGATATTGGAAGAACTTCTTTAATGTGAGTAAAGATTTAATATCTATTAGAAAAATTTGTTTATAATTATTACCCAAATGTTTAGTTGACAAAGAAAAAAATTGTTTTAGTATAAAATATTGAAGAAAAAATTCTTTTGCAAAGTTGCTTAAGAAATAATTTCTTAAATTGAAAACTCCCTTTCGTACACAAAAGTACTAAATTATAATAATAAGAGAAGAGAGAAAAGAAAAGAAAATAAAAATGTTAACACTATTATAATAATATACTGGTGTTAAAATTTTTTTTCTTCTAAAAAATTCTACTCTTCTAATATTTATAAATATTCATTTTACAAATTTTTTTAAATAATTGACAAAAATAATAAAATTTCTTTTTAACAGTATATTTATGTCTAGCAAAATTTTCATAAAAGTTGTGAACTTCATCGACGTTAAATTGTTATTGTTATTGTACGTTACAAAAATCAAAATATTTATTTTTGGATAATTTTCGTTGAAACTTTTTGACTAATTTATAAAAAAAATAATTATTCAAAAATTATTATGAAATTATTGACTTTTTAAAAATCAACAATTTAAAAATATATGAATTGTTGGACAGTTTTAATTTTTAATTCAAAATTGTTATTTTCTTTGATAAAAATATGAATATTTTCTGATTTAAATCAAAAAACTGTGATTTAAATCGAAAAAATTGGATTTTTTTTAATTAAAAAAAAATCTACGATTTTTAACACATCTGATAGAAACTCTGTTAAATGAAAATACTGTTAAGTGAATATTCGGATAAATTCAGAAATTCGATAAAAGAAAAATTTAAAAAACATTTCAAAACAATAAATTCTTTGCTTTGAAAATTTTACTAGATATAAATATTCTGTTAAGGGTATGTGGGAACCTCCCACGTGACCCAGTATGGGAAAATGTGTTTTCGTAGTATACATCTTACTCTAAAACGAGAAAAGATTTTTGTCTAAAATTTTGAGGGATGATAGATTTGGGTACAAGGAATCTCGCTGTTCTCCGAAAAATACATAATTTTGCGTTAAATTATTAAAAAATGAAGTTTAAAAAGTGGCATTTTTAATCGAAAATGAAAACAAACATGGTGACGCATACACAGACGTTGCTTGAGTGTGTCAGTGCTCCAGTAAACAGCGCCAATTCGAACGAGTAGCCGCTGAATGAACTATGATAAAACACATTATTTTACTAGTAAATGAGTAGAACAGCGAGATTTCTTGTACAAAACTAAATCATTTCTCCAAAATTTTAACCCGAAATCATTTTTTATTTCAGAGAAAGTTTCAAACCACAAAAAAACGTCCTTTGCCCACATGGCCTTAAATAGAAATTTTTCGATATGAAAATTTGGTTCATTAAAAATCTACTTTATAAAATTCAGCCCAAAATTTTTCTACCAGATATTTATTTGGTGAATTAAAAATTATTCAAAACAAAAATTTTGCATTTTAGGAATTCGAACAAATTAAAATTTGGATAGAAAAGATTTCTTTCTAATAATCTTTTTGTAAAATGAAAATTCTTTTAAATGACTATTCTGTTTAATGAAAATTCGAGTAAATAAAAATTCTGTCCAATTTAAATTCGATGAAATTAAAATTGTGTAAAATGAAAATTCGTTTTAGTAACAAATCTGTAGTATAGAAATTCGGTTAAATGGATGAATTTAATTTCTGTAACATAATAATTCGGAGAAATAGAAATTCGGCTAAAAATAAATTTTTAGATAATGAAATTTTGCCAAATAAAATTTGCAAACTAATTAATATTGAGAGCTTATTGCGTTCCTTATGAAGGATTAAAATTTTAATTTGCTGCGCGGTAAATTTCAAGGATAAAAATAGAGACAGCTTTTCTTTATACAATCTTTATTTTCTTAGATGTAAAATTAATTTCTTTTGCTATTGGTAAATATACTACACAGATCTATAATAATTTATAAGAGGAATGTAATATAATTTATATAAAGAGATATTTATGGTTTATGTATCACTACCACGAGGTAGATTTTCAGGTATCAATTCTCGTGTTTCATATTTCATATTTAAGACGCAGTATTATAAAATATATTTATAATATAATATATAAAAGTCGATTCTTTCTTATAGTCTATGATATTGTCACAAAAGAAAATTATCTCGATAAAATACATTGTTGTTTTTAAATAATCTCTACTTCTGCCTTTGGAATTACATTATCGTCTAAATCTTCAACTGTTTCAACGCTGCGATCGGGAGTTGTATTTTCAGTTTTCTTTGGAGCATTAGACGATGATGGTGATGAAGTAATTGGTTCCAAACTTCCATTGCCACCATTGTCAAGTGTATCGTTTTGCGGCTTAATTTCGACTACTCGAAAACGAAAGACTGAACCGCTATTCTCATCACCATCAGAATAGGTTGTGTCGTTGACGGTCACAACATGACCATTAATGACCTAGAAAAAAAAATTATATTTTGTTATAAAAAAAAAACTAAAAACACAGTTCTACAAAAAAGAGAATTTTTTTTCCGGCGGACCAGACTAGTAATTTTTTTTACGTATTTTAAGTGTCTGAATTCAAATCTCATATGGTGTTAAAATTTGGTTTGTTATTTTTTTTTCTAACCTCAAAGAACACTTTTTTGATAGATTGTTAGGGACGCATGATTATGTTCTAAAAATCATTAGTTAGAATTTTTATTTTATGAAATTTGATTTGTCATTATTATTTTTGAGCCGAATTTTTATTTGTTCGAATTAGTATTTTGCAGAATTTTCATCAAAACGATTTTCTATATTGCAGAATTTTTATATAACCGAAAATTCACTTCACAGAATTTTTATTTCTTCGTATTTTTATTTGCTCGAATTTTCAATTAACATAATAGGCATTTTAAAGAATTTTTATTGGGTAGAATTTCATTGCATAGAATTTTCATTTTATTCATTCAGATGAATTTTCATTTGTTCGAATTATTATTTGATGTAATTTCCATAGAACCGATTTTTCATACTGCAGAGTTTTTTACTTAACCGAAAAATCATTTAACAGAATTTCTAATTGATAGAATTTTCATTTGCCCGAAATTGCAAATGGTCGAACAAACAATCGACAGAAAGATTTCAGCGCGATTTTTAAAATCAACCTATCAAAAATTATCCATAAAATTGTGATTGGTTGATTTTAAAAATCGCGCAGAAATCTTTCTGTCGATTGTTTGTTCGGCCATTTGCAATTTCGGGCAAATGAAAATTCTATCAATTAGAAATTGATTCTATGGAATTGTCGATTGGTTATAATAATTCAAACAAATGAAAATTCTATGCAATGAAATTTTACCCAATAAAAATTCTTTAAAATGCCTATTATGTTAAATGAAAATTCGAGCAAATAAAAATTCTGTGAAGTGAATTTGTGCAAAATTAATTAATTGTGCAAAATACTAATTCGAACAAATAAAATTTCGGCTCAAAAATAATTATGATAAATGAAATTCCATAAAATGAAAATTCCAACTATAACTAATGATTTTTAGATAACATAATCTGTTTTTATCTTAAGATAAAAACAGTAGAACTAATTTGAAAATTCTGACTGTTGATTAAAATTCAGAATTTTAAATTACATAACACTTGAATAGATTTTTTAAATTAGGAATTGCAGATCTAATAGAGCGTATAAAAAATTTCGGGTATTTTTAAAATTGATCCGATTTGCTTGAAGCTTGTTATTTGGAGATTTTTTAAGAATTATGAAACTCATGTGAGATCGGAATTTCAAAATTATAGTTAGCGATTTTTATTACGTTACAATAAATTTAGTTCTGACAACCAAACGGCTTAGTTGCATCTATATTAAATAAAAAATTTGGTAGAGAGAACCAAACTTTGGTAGATGATACTAAACATTTTTCTCAGTGTACATCCCAGGTGAAACGATTCTACGGAAACTACTCCACAATTCCACACGGAATTCCGTAAAAATTATATACGGAATTTCGCAAAAATTTCCGCAAAATTTTTGAAAGAAGTTCTTTTGTAATTATGCGAATTTTTTATAAGAATTACACACATAATCTTTATACAGAATTGCACAAAATTTTTGTTAGAATTTCACAACTGTACACTGAAAAAAATTTAGCCGAAATCCTCAACTACCTTTAGTTAACTGACTTGAAAGTAGTAAAAGTAACTACTTTTTTTGGTTATTTTAACTATGTGCGTGTAGTCAATTTAACTATTTTTTATGGAGTTAAGAATTAGTAGTTAATTCTGCCCTACAACGGAAAAAGATACATAAGTGACATTTTGGTCAAAAATGAGTTTTTGGTATCAATGGATTCGTAATAAAAAGCTGCATCTGACTATCGTAATTAAAATTGAAAATTTTAATTATTTATAATAAAAAATTAAGATTGAAAATATTGCAATTCGCGAAAAATGAGAAAATACAACGGAAAAAGACACATGAGGTACTTTGCGTTGCCTAAATTCTGTAGGAGGCATGAAATACGTCACAAAATACAATGGAAGAATATACGCGAGGTAGCTTATGTATCTTTTTCCGTTGCAAAATCGGCCGAGCTCGGCTTGGTTTACAGAACGATATTCGCAAGCGCGCTTGTGTATTTCTTAGCTTGTAAAATAATCGAGCGGAGCAAAGATGTCCAGTGGAGACTATACACAAGTGCCATACTCTAATCCCATACTCTCTTGTCCCTTATGTATATTCTTCGCTGGACATCTTTGATCCGCTCGATGACTTTACAACGAAAAACACCACAAGCGACTTTGTGTTCTTTTTACGTTGCATTTGCACTAAAAAAACTACGCAAGTGCATTTTTTAAAAGGGATTGTTTAAATAATTAATTTTTTTTGCAAAAATAGAAAGAGCACATCCGATTTACCCCATTAGGGATATTTTTATTCATAAAAAATGAATTCTAAATGAAGTTTTTGATGCAAATGGTTTTTCTCAAATATCTCCGTTCGACCTATTTGTGGCTTATGTATCTTTTTCCGTTGTAGGGCAGAATTGTACTTAACAAAAGTAGTTAAATCAACTTCAAAAATTAGAACAATTACAAAACCTCCTTGACCAAACTAAATTCTTAGTTCTTTTAACTACTTTTTAATAGTTCATACAACTTTTTAAATTCAGTTAAGGATCTATTGAACTATGCAGGGTAGTTAAAAAGTAGTCAAATCTACTAGTTTTTTTATTGAGTGTATTTTTTACTGATTTTTTTTGTAATTTTAAAATAACTGCTGGTGGATACACTGAAAAAAATTAGTCGAGAAATTGAACTATCGTTAGTTAGTTGACTAAAAAATAGTAAATTTCTTTTGGAAAACGTTTTATTGACCTCTCAAATAAGTTCGACTTGTTATTAATTAATCTATCATAAATTCTATATTATATCCACCAGGAACATCATCGTCGACTAGTTTTCGTTATAGTAGCAGCAGTTATTTTAATATCACAAAAAAATCAGCAAAAAATAAAGTTGTGGAATTTTATTGAAAATTTTGTGCAATTCTGTATGGAATTCTTCCAAATAAAATTCGCAAAATTACGAAAGGAATACTTTCAAAATTTTGCGGAATTCCGTATGGAATTTCCGTGGAGTGATTTCCGTAGAATCGTTTCATTCGGGATTTACTCATTTTTCGTTTACAATTAAAATCTATCGACTCACCTTAGTGGTGGAAGTGCTGTTTGAACCTTTGGGTATATCAGCCAATGGTTTGAAACCATCAACTTGACTTCTAAAAATTTCTTGCAATCTTCTCTGGAACATTTCTGAAAAAAAATAATAAATTATAAAGATTTTGAATAAATAAATATGAATACTTATTGAATAATAAATTGATCTAATTAAGCTTTAAATTGTAATAGTTATTGCCTAAAAATACATATGAGAGATTCTTTTTCAATCGCCCCAGCCCAAAAAGTCAATGTTCTGGGATTGGCTTCATACTTTGGTAAATTGTTGTCCTATATGATAGTAATAAATCCCTAAAATATAAACTAATTAAAAAAATATTTGTAGAAAGTAGAGGGGGTTGAAGTTTTGACGTTAAGGGTAACATTGTCATTTTCAAATCCGTTTAACTATGACAAAAGTTAATGGATTTTAATTTATCTATAATGAATTTTATTGCATTTTTCACGTACTTTTCAAAAATGTATACGAAATTTAAAAAAAAAAATTTTTAACCCCTTTTTTTTCAAAATCAACCCTTATTTTTCGATTTTCACCCCTTCGGGTATTTTTTTTTTTTTTTTTTTTATTTTCATTGGAAAGCTGAGGTTTTTTCCGATGAGCTATGTAAATATGAAAATGGGACAACAATAATTTTGTGAGAAACAGAATATTAAAGTAGGCGGTGCCGATAAGGGTGCCGTTAAGGGTAACATTGTCATTTTCAAATCTGTATAACTATGACAAAAGTTAGTGGATTTTAATTTATCTATAATGAATTTTATTGCATTTTTCACGTACTTTTCAAAAATGTATACAAAATTTAAAAAAAAATTTTTTTGACCCCTTTTTTTTCAAAATCAACCCTTATTTTTCGATTTTCACCCCTTCGGGAATTTTTTTTTTGTTTTTTTTTATTTTCATTGGAAAGCTGAGGTTTTTTCCCATGAGCTATGTAAATATGAAAATGGGACAACAATAATTTTGTGAGAAACATAATATTAAATTAGGCGGTGCCTATCTAAATCCTCAAAGATGATCTCCAGGTACACCCCTTATCGGCACCGCCTACTTTAATATTCTGTTTCTCACAAAATTATTGTTGTCCCATTTTCATATTTACATAGCTCATCGGAAAAAACCTCAGCTTTCCAATGAAAATAAAAAAAAAAAAAAAAAAAATACCCGAAGGGGTGAAAATCGAAAAATAAGGGTTGATTTTGACAAAAAAGGGGTTAAAAATTTTTTTTTTTAAATTTCGTATACATTTTTGAAAAGTACGTGAAAAATGCAATAAAATTCATTATAGATAAATTAAAATCCATTAACTTTTGTCATAGTTAAACGGATTTGAAAATGACAATGTTACCCTTAACGTCAAAACTTCAACCCCCTCTACTTTCTACAAATATTTTTTTAATTAGTTTATATTTTAGGGATTTATTACTATCATATAGGACAACAATTTACCAAAGTATGAAGCCAATCCCAGAACATTGACTTTTTGGGCTGGGGCGATTGAAAAAGAATCTCTCATATATACATTATACATATTTGAGAAATTTACATTCGTATAAGAAAGAAAATTTTTACTCATACATGTAATTTTTTATCTATTCAACTTCTTTCTTCTATTTAGTCATTATAGAACTCATTTGAAAAGGAAAAAGAAATTTTTCATTCGCTTACACAGGAAATTTAATTCATATTTTAAATAATGACAATGAAACTTTTATGTATACATATATGCAATATTCTCTTACATATTTTTAGATAGAAGAAATTATTAAAACGCGCAGAAGGAAATTATAGGGAATGTGTTAATTTTGATTACGGTAATAATAAATTATACCATTGTCATGAAATATCTGGAAATTGCGTAAAACTATTTGTAATTTTAACTGAAATTAAAAAAAAAATTTTTATTTTTCTACGTAGTGAAGCAAAATTGTCCGATATCCTACACGGAGAGAAAAATCTGCCTTTTATAGTATAGAAAGGTTTACATTTAATGCACAGAAATTTTCTATGCTATATAGGCATGAAATTTGAGTAATTATAGTACAATCGTATGTCTTTTTAGCATGAAACTTGTCTATGCTAATAAAGTTTGTCATATAGCCTCTTATTACATACTTATTATACTTTTAATCCAACGGCGCCATGCGAAGATCGCACATAACATCATCCTACTATGTTTGCATAAGTTCTATGCTTTTTCGGGGATAGACTCTTGCAACTGGCGATTAGGGCAGTTCCAATTCAGTAAAGGTGGGCGTGGCCTAATCGCCAAGTTGCAAGAGTCTATCCCCGAAAAAGCATAGAACTTATGCAAACATAGTAGGATGATGTTATGTGCGATCTTCGCATGGCGTTGTTGCTATTAAACTACATGTTTTGTACTATAGAAGCATATATACTATGCTTTTTTAGTACGGACAAATACTATCCTAAAAATTCTCAAATCTTTGCTCTATTAGTATGAAAAGTTTAAAGAAAAATAGCAGCAATCTATTTCATACTATAAAAGGCAGATTTTTCTCTCCGTGTATAGACAACAAAAATGTACTGTAGACCTAACAAAAAATTTTTTTTATCAAACTGAAATTTTTATCTCTTATTTTATTATATTTGTTTCATATTTTTGTTTTATTTATTATTATTTATTTTATATTTATTTTATTTTGTACATATATATTTATAAATATAATATATCCTATTTAATATTAGTAGGATATTCTAAAATTTAATAGAATTTTTTTTTGATTATGTATTTTTGTAAAAAAATCGCGAAAATGTAAAAGAAACGTAAATTAAATTTATCAATAATTTACTAACCGTTCTCAATCGCGGGGAAAAATATTATAGGGAGCAAAAAAAAAAAATGGTCTTTAAACATTTCCCCGTTTTAGTTGGCGGAAGTATAGGGTGAAATGGTTGCATGATTTATCGAGTGTAATTGTTCATTAGGGATGGGTGCTAGGGGCGATAAGGGTTCAGAATAACTGGATATAGAGGGATGTGAAAATTGCAGGACTGAATTGTCATGGCAGACGTATATATATATATTTACATAGAGGAAGGAAGGAAATCGCTTGGAAATCAACCATCGACATTTCGTCGTTTTCACACGATTCCTTCGACGCGTAATGTCCATTGCAGTTTATGTTATGTAGTTGTGTATCAAAATTTATTGGAATTACGGAAATATACACTGTAATTTAAAAAAAGGAAATAATGACGAATTATTTTCAAAATTTTAAATAATTTTTTAGCTTTTTCGATAAATTGATCATATAACTTGAGGAAAAATCAGACAAAGAATCGGAACAGAAGTTAGTCCAACTGTGTATTTTTGGATTTTTAAAGAAAAAGATGATTTAAATTTTAAAAAAGCTTCGTTAGTTTTTTTTTAGATTTTATCAAAATCGTTTCCTATGTATAAAAACTTTTAATTTTGATTAAAATTTAATTTATAATTGTTTAAAAATTTAAAAACTGAATTATTTAAAATTTCACAGAAGGTTTTTTAAAATTTTAATTATTTTTTTCTTTAAAAATACAAAAACACACAGTTGGACTAATTTTTGTTTAAAATTCGAGTTTTAATGAATTTAGGAAGTTCTCTCGCAAACAGAAATGACGAAGAGTTAATTATCAAACTTGATAAACTGATAGATAATGGTTTAAAGAAGATGTAGTTAAATTTTTAGGGGTCTAGGTGGATTTTGACAAAAGATATAAATAATTTTCTCTTTTCACATTTAACACGGGTTCTTATGGGAAATTGAATTTTTTGGTCAGAAATCTCAAATTGTGAAAAATCTGACGAAAAGATATTACTGGAACTTTATATACATAAAGTTTAATAGCCAATGTTCACTTACTTTTAATAAAATTGATCAGACCTGGCTTAGGAGACTCACAATTAATTATTTTGTCTAAAAAAACACCGTATTTTGACAATCAGAAATTACTTAGCACAACGCTTGGCAACGTTGCGTCTTGTAGGTTAGGTATAGAAAAAGCGCGAAATTTGAAAGTAATATAAGTAGTATATACATATAATAGTATATTCTTCAAAGATTCATAATAATGAATAATAATTTGAATTTGCTTATAAAAAATTAAGATTTTTAAAATAATAAATTATTATTATTATTATTTAACGAAAATAAATCAAACAATAGCAGACGACACGAAACGGAACGGGGGAAATATAATCCAACGTTGCCAAGCGTTCAGCTAGTACTACGTGATACAAATGAAAACTTAAATGGGCATTGATTTGACTGACGTTGGAGGGGGAGAACTTCCTTAAAACTTTTGAAAATTAGAATTTTAGAACATATGAATATTTGAAATTTCAATTTTTGAAGATTTTAATTTTTAACTGTTTTCAAATTTTTGAAATTCGAACTTTTAAAATTACCAACAATTGGAGATTTGACCTTAAAAAATTTGGGAAATTGAATTTGTTGAGATTAAAATGTTTAAAATCGAATTTACAATTGTGCGCACTTTTAAAAATTCTAATTTTTTAGTTTCAAACTTTTTTATAATTGAATATTTAGAGTTTTGAACTTTTAGATATTCGATTTTTTTTAAATTTTAAAGTTTTAGAAATAAAAATTTTTTACAACATTGAAAATTCTTAAATTCAAGCTTTTAAAAATTCAATTTTGTAAAAATTAGGGTAAATGTACCAATTACGGCGAGAGCATCAATTACGGTGTGTTCATAAAAAATAACTATTATTAATTATACTCCTAGAAGGAGTATATGAATTTTCTCACCCTCTAAATGGTAACTGGGGTGTCTAGACATCCCAACTTGAAACTTGTGTAAAAAGGTTTCTATTTGACATAAAACTAATTATATATATAGTGATTTTTATTGGTTTTTTAGTAAGAAAAACAATAGTTTTATTGATTTTTTGATAAAATAAAAATAAGTTGAAAAAAACTTGCAATAACGAAAACAAAAAACGAAAAATTTTCCAAATTTGTCGAAATTTGAATTTTGCTGGGGTACCTAGACACCCCAGTTACTCCTTCTAGGGTTAATAAGTCGTCAATTAACTTTATACAATAGAAAT